TTTTAACACTTAAGTTGTTGCTCTCAAACTGGTGTCAGTGGTTCTTCAACTAGAAAGTTGAGTAGCTTCGCATGCATCTGAGAACCCGACAACACGTTTGACATATAATTGAAATCAAAGATTATCATCAAATGTATTTTTAAAAACCCCAAAAGGGTCAGAGCATTCTGGAAACTGCTGCCAAAAGCTGCGATAATGTTCATAATTTGTTACTAAGGGTGAAACCAGCAGGTTTGTGTGCATAGTTTTAATTATTTGTGCCTGTCTATGATGCCTGCACAATCCCTGCTCCGATGACAAGTGAAACAATGAAACTCCCATTCTAAAGTTGGCTCCATAGATACAAAAGACTCCCAAAAAGAGTGAACATAAGTAAGAGAAGTAAAACCACAAGGACACTCGCTTTGATTATAGTTGCTTCTATCCAAATACAAACACTGAGCTAAGGACCAAATGGATAAAAAACTAAAGTATTGAATTATTGCAGACAATGTTTGCACCTTTTGGACCTTTGAACAAAAGTTGAACTCTAAGCCCTGCAGCTGACCTAAAAATGTACAATCAGAAGTAAATGCAATTATCTTTGCTTTACATTTCTTTTTTTTCCACACTGGTTGAAATGAAATTGTTTGGGAAGCATTCACAAGTTCTGTTAGGCAGTACGCTGCGTTTTAGGAGCCATAACAGGTGCCAAGTCGAGGCTGCTGAACCAGTAAATGAGTGGTTTGAAACGCCCGATGAAGACATGAATGAAATGCAAGACCAGAAAGGAGTAATAAACAAATTAATAACACAAAATGTTCCGGTGAGCAACCTTGCTTTCTTCAATTAGTTCTAAATCACCAGCGGTTATTAGCCTGGCCTAATTGAATGTGATAGTGAGCCATGCTAATGCGATACCTTGTGGTGTAATTGGTGTCGGAGGGAAAGGTTCTTCTGCTCGTCTTCCAGACTCCATGTTTGCCTTCTCCTCCGGACGTGTCTGATCCTGTCTTGTAGTTTCTTTTAGAAGAAAGTTCACCTCGAGGGACAAGCAGATCCTCATGTGGATCCTCTGATGGTTATGGAAAGCTTTAAGGTCTGACAGATCCCGCTGCTGTGCTTTGGAAACATAAAGCAGTTAGAAAATACAAGGCACACAGAGAGGCAGATCATATCATCTTCACAAAAGTTGTATATACAACCAGGAGAGTGTGACTTTTCTCACTTTGTTTGACTAGCGTTCCCAGTTCCTGCTGCTTTGAAGCCTCCACAGAAAGCTGTGCTGGCAGAACGCATTCCCATAAGGCTGTAGTAGCCAGGTGATGAGCGGGCGCTGGCTTTCACTGGATATGGCTTTTGGCATTCAGGCCAAAGCTTTCAGTTCTCGTCTCATCAGTCCAGAGAAGCTTCTCTTTCATGCTTTCAGAATACCGTTCGTGCTATTTGGCAAACTGCTGCTAGGCTTTTGTGTTGATTTTTCCCCATTTTCACAGAAATAGATTTAGATTCTGACCGTCCTCCCAAAAAATCTTGATTGATTGAGTGCTGGAAGAGATGGTGGTGCTTCTGGTTGCCCCTTTCATGTTTACTAAGTTTGTAGTTGAGTTATTTAGTTTCACTTCTGGGGGGAAAAGTGTTCGTGCTGGTTTGAAAGTTAAAAACCCCGTGGTCCTGGAGTCTGTTTGCATCCCCATTTCAAACTCTCCTCAAATATTTGGGTTTAAGGAGCAATACGTAAGGGTAGTGCTCCCTACCGGAAAACACCCAAGAGTGCTAGCACCACTCATCAACTTACTGTGGATGCCTCGTCTTTGCTTGTCATCTAGAATTTTCTGGTGAAGATCCGTAACTGGCAACAGCCATACGAACGGCAGTGAGAGAGGCACATTTTGGATTGCAGGAACCACATTTGACCACAGGATGTCATTCTTACTTCATTCTAACATAAAGCACCTTTAATATTGAACTCATGGTTATTTAGCATTGAGTTGGGAAACACTGTCCAGAATGGCAGAGTTGAGCTGTCTGGGGTTTGATTAAAGAGCAAGTCACCCCCAAATCAACTTTTTTTTTTTTTTTTGCTGATAAACTATATAAATGAGAGTCACGTTGTGCTGTAGACACATGTAGTCAGTAAATTGACACTTTGTCCAGATTTAGGAAAGCATTTTAGTGCATCTTCAAATTAAAATATTCTGCCTAAAACTCTGCACTGCATTTGAATTTAAATCTACCATGGCTATTGGCTAAGAGGTACACCATGACACTAGCTGGTACATTATGATGTCACAATGTCATTGTGAGCCTGTGCAGGTGTATTTGTTAGCAGCACTGCCGTCTCAGTTTGCCAGGCAACAGCGTTTGTTGCATTTTTCAAAAAGGAAGTGGGAGTGGAGTAAGACTCTGGTAGGGGTTGACTTGCTCTTTAAAAACTCCTAGTTGTCATTTTATAACCCAAACAGCCTACGATAAAAAATGCATGTTTAATTTACAAACATATATCACATTAACAGATCTTATCATTTGTTTGATTAAATGTAATCTTATACTTGAACCAAAAATGGGCCAACAGTGCTGCTTTAAAAGCTGAGAAGAGCTGCTACGGTAGCCCAGTTGACCAAACAGGAAGTAAGTGTACTTCATCGTGTCTCTTTTTTTTTCTGGTGTGTTAATACTTGTATGGAAAAAAGCTGCTGGATAATGCACCAAATAACTGACCTATTTTTTATTGCACCAGTTTTGAACTTCTATTAAGGAAATATCCACGAGGAACGACTAAACAAGAGCAGGCTTGGAAAGCCAAATATTTTCAAAATAATTTTATTAAATGCAATTATTTTTTCTTAAATTTTCTTTTTTTTTTTTTTTTTTTTGGTATAATTTCAAGTTAGAATTAAACCTTGAATACAGAATAGATGAAATCTTTGCCGGTGGAGACACATTCATTTGACCTCAGTAGAATCGTGTGTTTTAGCGTTTGATTTTAAATAGTTGAGCAAAATTCTCTAGTATGGTTACATTTGCTCCTTTAACATTAACAATAGCATCTCTTGACTCCAATTTGCTCTGCTGCTGCGCCGAATCATCAGGAGCAGCCCCAGCTGTCAACAACAGAGCTTATCAATAGCAATAAAAAGAAAGAAAGCAGCTGCTCTTTACTTCTTAATTGCTCCACGGATGCAGTGTCTTCTGTGAAGGGTACATACTTAGAAGCAGATTTACTACCTGAGGCAGTTTAGCATCTGGTTTCAAATCATAAATGGTACCTGCGGGAGAGTCCAGTTCTGTGGGTGACCTGATCTCATTCTCATAATTACCTGGAGCATGGAGGCTCAAGCAAGCAGAGCCGGTAATAATCAGGAGACACACAAGCTTGTTTTCTTCTTGTTTAAAGAGCAAGTTCACTTGTTCTTGTTGATTTTGACATTTTATTGCTCACTCTGAGTTTCACTCACAGGCTAAATGTGAAAATAGTCTTCTAGCACTATTTACTTCATTAGTCAGCGATATAAAATAGACAGGAAGAATGCTCGGATTGGAAAAGCCACACAGATCTACCTCACACTGAAAGTAGCATTCATGGACTCGCCCATATTGGCTCCTGACAGGGAAGGTTGTTGTTGGTTTAGCGTCCACGAGAGAGTAGAGCACATTCTGGCTAGTAGACCATTAGCACTAGCAACTCCACCACACAGCAGAACTTCTCCGGGCTTGTGTTATTTGTGGGGGTAAAACATCAGTGTTGCAGAGCAAACAGAGTCCATGGTAGAGTTGTGTTGCTGTTAGCCAATCAGAGGAGAGATGTCCACATATCAGGAAATATGACTCCAAATCCTTCTGGCTGACTTCTGTTTCCTGAGCACCAGAGCTTTTTTTCCCCACGAAGATTGACTCATAAGACATTCATTTGTACTAGAGACCACTGCAGATGTGTTTAAAACACAAGTTTGGTATTTAAAAAATGGTGATTAAATGGAGTTGACCTGATAACATCTTGTGACATTACAAAATAAAAAGTAAACATAAATGATATTCCTACTTAGACACACAACAGCTTTTCATCCTGAAGCCCATCGCAGAAATTAGAACCTATTTCAGTCAGCATTCATCATAATTCTGAGTTTTGTACCGAAACATGTGCGCTAAGGTCAGAAAATACAGCTGTCCGATTTATTTACCGCTCTTTATGAAAACAACAGCTTTCTCTACAAGTTAGATCTCTCACTCCCTTTTATTGACTTGTGTTTTTTTATTATAATTATTGAATCCAAACAAATAGTTTGATATGGTTAAATGGTTTCTTCTGGATGTTTATGGAGATCCTAAAAATCCCAAAACAAGAGGAGAAATAAAATATACAACATCTAATAAAAGTTCAAGAGGTAATATATATACACATATATATATATATATATATATATATATATATACACACACACACACACACACACACACACACACACAGCAGGACTGGGTTCAAGATTCAGAGCTTTTCTTTAATAAGGCTCCAAACTAAAATTAAAAACCAGCAGTAATTGTTTAAAAACTAAAATTTATTCTGCAATAAGTGCAAACCGCTTATAAATCTGGACCTAAGCGTGTCTTTAAACAGCTCTACAATCATTCAGATGAGTTCATAAATAAATATTGGCCTCACCAGATTAATTTTATGTTTATAGTGATTAAAATAGATTTTATCATGTGCAACAATAGAAGGTGAACAAATCAAACCCACAGTGAGAACACATATTATCCTGCTCCTGTAATGTTTTGTTTTAAGGATCATAAATAATAATTAAGAATAGGAAAAGACGAGATTAAATGCACCACAAAACTTGACGATACATCATAAAATGTGTCAAGTGTGACATAAAATATGAGCAGCAGAAAAAGAACCTGTTTGCTTATTTCTCTGTGACCACACACACACACACACACACACACACACACACACACACACACACACACACACACACACACACACACAAGCTGCTTAAATCGTTTCTCTCTTTTTTCAGACGAAGCGTGCGCTAACTGCTCCTTTGGAGCGATCTGCGACGCCCAGAGCGGACAGTGTGTGTGTCCGTCGGAGTGTATCGAGTCCCACCAGCCCGTGTGCGGCAGCGACGGCGCCACCTACAACAGCGAGTGTGAGCTGCATGTGCGAGCGTGCAAAGAGCAGACGGACCTGCGGGTGGTCAGCCAGGGAGAGTGCAGTAAGTAACGTGTGAATTAGTGTAACCAGTGATTAATGTCGAACGCCTTTTACACAACGGTGAAAACCACATTCAGTAAAGGAAACAGCATATTTCTGCTTTTTGGAGTGAAGTTGTAAACGATGGTAAAACTCGAGCCCTTCAGCTCCAGGCTGGCAGGGAGTCGAATTTCATTTGATTGTATTTTTATTTAAATTTACATTTTGACTTCTGTCCTGGTGATCACGTTAACTTTGTGGGTGTTTCCTCTCAGCGGCGACCCGCGGCTCTCTGAACCGTCGCTCTGCTGTGTTTGTAATACAGGAACGTGTGGCGACACGGTTTGTGCCTGGGGTGCCCGGTGCGTGGAGAACAAGTGCGAGTGCCAGCAGTGCGCCGGCGAGGCGTTCTCCCCGGTGTGTGGTAGTGATGGCAACACCTACGACAATGAGTGTGAACTCCGCAGGTCCTCCTGCATACAGAAGAAGAAAATTGATGCAGCGAAGCCCGGCAGCTGTGATGAAGGTAGGAAATGGACTTTGAAATGTTGTAATTATGGTAACCAATCAGCCATTGAAGTGGTGTAATTAACTTTACCAACTGACCTGTGGCACGCTGTTTAGTCATCTGTGGGTTTTCATGATGGCGGGATACACCTCTAACGGCTCGCCAGTTCTCTGACATCACCAAGAGTTGCTGTGAAAGTCACTGCGTGCGTCCGTAAACAACAACAGAGACCTTTGAATAAACAGGCTCCCGTCAGCTGTGCTTTTAAAATAAACTCACTGGTGTGTTTGTTTGTTCTTCTTCTGGCTCAGCGCCAAACGGCGTCCACAGACGTTAGAAACATTAAACGTTTCATTCTGTTCATGTCATTTAACCCATTCAGAGGATGAGGAGAGTGGTTGTGTGAAGTCAAGAGCAGTGAAACACAGTTCTTCAGCTCCTGGCTCTGTTGGAGACCACAGAGCCAGGAATTATGTCATTTTTCTGTGTTTGATGTCCAGAAATCAAGATTTTAAAGCAGCATGAATATTGCTTATTTCCTTGGCCTTGCATTCTGCTTCAGCAGCAACTCTTTGGGTTTATAAATCCCCGTTGTTCATCCATATTTGCTGATATGATTTCCCACTAAATAACAACCAGTCAGTGTGTTTTAACTTCCACCCAAGATGGAAAGTGAAGCTAATGCCCAAAGGACAAAAACTGTAGTTGCCCCCCTCGTCCACTAGGGGCAGGTAACAAAAAACAGCATGTTCTCTTTGACTGTTAAAAATGTTGCAGCAGAAATAACCACGCTAACAGCCTGGATTACATTTAATGGGTCACGTTTATCATCCTAACAACTCTGAGTGGGTGAACTTTTTGTTACTCATCTGTTTAGATGTAATTAAACCTTAAATCATGAATAATTGGGATGGGGGGGGGGGGGGGGCTTTCTCATTGACAGGTAGCAGAAGAACCGCCAGTACTGACAGTTTGACCCCTGCTGCTACAGGGAGGGCCTCAGCCTTGGCCTCACGTTAACTCATTCACTGCCAGCCATTTCCTGATCGTTAAAGCCCTTCGCTGCCCGCGTTTCTCGCCGTTTTTACTGTTTCTTTAAGTGTCGCAGAACGTTGCGCGCTAGGATGATGTCGACGCCAAAACAAAGAGGAGACTCGCCTGGGCGTTTCGAGCGTTATCCGTTCTTTCATAATCCGTTGTTGAATTGTGATCGGCAGAAGCTTTTCCGGTACGCGCCTCACTTTCTTTTTACAGGAGCAGCCCAAAACGATCTCCTAACACATGGATGTTCTGCTTCCTGATCAGGTGACGTGTGATGTATGCGGATGGAAATCGGCTTTAGAGCTGAGATGTTTGTTTTCTCGGCGCGGGGGCTCGTTCCGATGCCCAAACATAAAAAAAAATGCAAATGACGACTTTAGTCGTCAATGGCAGTGAATGAGTTAAAAGTGGCCGCCTGTGTTTACTATTTTAAGGAGAACACAAACTCAGAGACAGGCTGATCTACCAAGAGGGGACTGGGCCAACCCAGATGTGAGTACGTCATAACATGGTCTGGAAAAGCTCCTTTCGGATTGGCCCGGTAAAATGGAGACGCGCGTGTGCTGTAGAGGTCCGGAATAATCACTTGATAGTTCCGATAGTGAGAACAAGGCTATAGTAGCTATGCCGTCACTGATTAACGTACCGTTTTGAAGCTGTTGTGCAGAAGCTGTTCTAAAATTAAAGAAATAACCAAGTAAAATTAATAAAACTGTATTACCAACCGTTAACGCTCTGATGTGAAGTTTATGCTGCTGTACCACAAAGTTTTAAATAAAAATTTAATAACTATTTTAACTGAAAGGGCTTCATAGAAAGTAAGTCTCGGGACTTCTGAGCTCAGTAAATACCAGCTCAACTAGCTGAAACTGGAAACCAGTTGAAAAACATGACTCCCCCATAGAAAAAATGTGGAATGCTGCCGTCACCATGGCAACTCTGTCTCCCTATCCCAGCCTGGACTGCGACCGGTGAAGGCCGCTGAATCGTTACAGGAGTCACTGTGCTCTCTAAACCCAACCACCTCCCCCGCCCAGACTGAGGTGACGAGCGCTGCTTATCGCGGCTGCATGCACTGATGTGTGGAGAGTCCCCAACCGTACCTCCCCACCTAGTGGACACTTATGTTGTGTGATGTCTGAAGTCTGTTGCATATATGTTTGAGGTGTTTTTTTGCATAACAAAGCTGCCCTCCCTGTGGAGGGTAACTCTAAAGTGCCTTTTTTTCCTCCACCTGACCCAATCCTCATGTAAAGCTCTGATCTCTATTAAGGCAGCGCGACTCAGGCTGCGAATGACCACAGTCACCAATTCTTGTCATGTGTCTATGTCTACGTATGTCTGATCTCAGAATTGTGTGTACTGAAACTCTAATTTCCCTCTGGGATTAATAAAGTATCTTTGAATTGAATTGAATTGAATCTAAACTGGTGAGATTGTTAGTGGAGAGTGGGTTGTTTAGTTTACTGATCAAAAACAAGAAAACAGCCATGGAATGAAGTACTGGTGCTCATTGGCTGATTTTAGTCACCCAGCCTTCGAAATAAGCAGCTTTCTTACTATTTTTAATCCATTTGGAAGATACTTGATGGTAAAAGTTACAAACTTGACTTGCTCTAGATGTTTTTGTTGCAAGGTTATCTCCTCATCTCCAGCCAGGGAAGTATTGATTAGTTAAAAAGTTTTAGTTAAAAGGATCTTATTTATGTTGCGACAGACCCGCCACACAATTTACAAAGCCTTTCAATCCAATTAGGCTCTTAAATGTGTGACTGATAGCATCTCGCATGAGTGTTTGTGATTTCCGTGGCTGTAGCCGCGGCGTTCCTTCCCATCCTGAAGAAATGGGACCTAATTTACCGTGCAGATGCGATCTCGATCCGGCCCGACAAGCCGAGGCAGAACATCACAGTCTCTCACTCAGGCCTTCACGGGGATAACTCTGGAGGGAGAAACATGCCAGCCTATGGTTGTCATGCAGATAGTGGCGATCCCGTTCCCCTGTGGGTAGTGGGTCATCGCCGTGAACAGAGTCGTCTTCTGACAAGGTGTGAAGGGGAGCAGATTACACCTGCCAGCAGGAGGGATGGCTGGAGAGGAGGGAAGTGGGGGTAGTTTGGAGGACCGGGCAAACAGATGAGCAGAATCTACTTCTGTTTTGATTGCTAGCCAGGGGGGTTTCTTTCTTTTTACCATTGTCAGCGTTGCTTCTCTGCGCCTGCGAGGCAAATCATGCCACTAGAGCTCCGGCAGTCCATTTAACATCATTTCATTGACCGAGATGGCGAGTGACCTTTTTGTATGCGGGACATCAGGAAATGTGAGACTGCATGGCCTCGATGCAGACTTGCTGTCACCACACACACACACACACACACACACACACACACACACACCATTGTCTGTTGCTTGTCTGGTGTGGGGCAAAAATGCTCTCATCTTCCTCCCCGAGGGAGTCTGTGAACATCCAGCTTTTTCCATCACTCGCTCATTTTGATTCAGAGAAACCATCAGGCTCACACAATAGAATGTGTTTTTTCTTCTTTTTACTCTCCCTATCGCTCCCCGCTGTCCCACCCACTCATTCCTCTCTCCGTTTGGCGCTGTTTTCCATCAAATTTGTTTCTCTCCACAAAAGAGGGACCAACGCGTTTGCAGATAGGGGTGGAGATGGGATTGTCAGAAATCGATAAATTTCACCCCGGGGGCAACTCGAAGGTGTTCCTTTTTCCTGCTGGCTCCGTCTGTGATTCTTGTAGCCCCCCCTTGGATGTGTGACCCCGACCCTCCACTGGAACTCTGGACTGAGTGCAACACCTCCAAAAGCAGGCTGCTGGTTTCCTCTTGGAGATATCGCCTGCCTCTCTCTGGCTGCTAGTGTTCAAAATGATTTGTGGCGGATAAACTCCCCCCCACCCCACCCCAACCCCCCATCCCACCTGGATGCACGAGCAGTGAGTTTTGGCAAAATTAGGAGCATATATATTGGTAACAGAGGGCCACTGTCACAACATATAATACTGTATTTTGCTGCTCTATTGTTGACAGCAGCAAAGCCGTACATCACCACTATGGAATCAGAGATAAGCCTTTAGAGGAAATGAACATGTGATTTATTCTTGCACGTAAAAAAACACCCTCATTAGTCTTATTGGAGGGTGGGTGCAGCCCAAAAAAATGGAAGTTGTTTTCTCTAGCTTTTATTTAGTAATGAAAAATGACGTGTTCACACCGTTGGCCATAGAGGGAAATTTATCACCTGTTTAATTTCACACTCTGGTAGGCTTGGCCTTAGCTCCTTTTTACTCTTTCTTGACGCTGACAAAGTGGCAACAGAGAGTGCCGCATCAACTACGAGAGACCCCGACCCCTTTCTAATTGAAAAAGGCGTTTAATAAACTGGATTACAGGAGGTGGATTGCATAGTCCAGCTTAGGCCGTGTACACGTGCAGTCGGGTTTTTCTAAAACCAAATATCCTCCCTCATCCATGTAGGAAAAGGCTTGGGCCCACACCACCTCGTTTTATTCAATAAAATAAAAAAGCAAAGCTCCAGTGCATGTTGAAGCACATTCGTAGGCATGCCTTGCCTATAGGTGGCAGAAGTTCCCAAAATCATTGAATTCTTTGCCGAAAAACATTCCTTGGACATGGAATAACTAGGTGGTGGGCAATACCGTCATTATTTCGTCCATTGCCTGTGGTCTTTTACACAGAGCAGTAAAAACAAGTCACACGTGGGATGTTAGAGCATTTTTGTCGCAAGCAGTGATGTCATAAGACGTAAAACCCCGGTTATTTACATCCACAAGCGAATGCTAACAACGGAGAATTTGCAAATCGCCAGCGACCTTTTTGGTTCTCGACTTTGGAGTGGATGACGGACCAAACCGTAGAAAAGCCTCTTCCTTTTAGGGATCCTCGCCACGCGTGTGTAGGCTCGTATTCCTTCTTCAGCACAGAGTGGATCGAACTCCAGAAACACTCAGACAAAAAGCTGGATGATTGATGGGAGTAAAAAATGAAGCTCCTTATAGTGGAATGATGGTTAGTCATTTATATTCATGCCCTATCGCGGCTCCTAACCTTCTGTAGAGGCAACAAAACCTCTTTCCAAATCCCTCCTTGCCAGGAAGTGTGACACGCCATTCGTCTATCTTTTGAGAACTTTATTTGGATTAATGTTCTGCCTCATCCATCAAAACCACTGAAGGGGACAGATGAGGCATTTCCCCTAAACTTTTCTGCCACAAAACAGTTTTTTCCAACATGTTTGCTCAGGTGGCATCATAACGACACACGGACGTTAACGCGAGTGTTTCTATTCTCGGTACGAGACGGTTCCAACAATAGAGCTGTGGCGCTCACGCCTAACATAACTTCTATTGTTAAATCCTCTATTTTTCCTCGGATGTTATTCTTATGCGATTCATGTCCTTTCTCTCTCTCTGCTGCTGAATTCTGCCTTCTTAATAGAGCTCCCTGGGCTAAATAGACTCAGGCCTCTGACATGATTGAGTAAAAAGGAGCGGATGGGCAGTGCAGAGAGAATAGCTGATGCAGCCATCTTAGCTGGGGATTTATTAATTGAAAGGTTCATAGGCGGTACAGGTGGTGGACACATGAAAGTACAGCAGCTAATTAGGACCCCTCTTTGCTTTTCACTTCTGTTTATTCCATTTTAATGTCTTACCTCTTTTATTTATTCTTCTGGTTTCTGCGAGGGCGCCTGGGCGGAATATGAATCCGATACTCCTGCTTGTTCTTTATTGCTGTGTCTTGCTGAGCTGGCGTACTGTAAACAAATGCCGGACAGCCGGGCTTATTCTTTTTCTGATTTGTTCTTCTTTGTCAGAAGGTTGAGTTGGAAGTAGGCCCAAAAGAGCAGGCTCCGAGGAATAACTCAGGTGTAGATGTAGAAGAGAAGCTGGCAGGGAAGCAAAAGAAGGATTTACAAAACCCCAATCTGAAGAGCAAGGGAGCAACAATGACCCAGAAACATCTGAGGAGGTAAACGGTGTGATCTAAGGGTGAGACGAAGAAACAGAGGACTATATTTGCAGCCAGCTCAGTGGCCTAGTGGTATGAGTGACCGCCCTGAGACCACGGTCGGGTCATACCAAAGGCTTTAATACCTCCCTGTTTGACGCTCAGCATTAAGGGGTTCGACTGGGGGGTTAAACCACCAAATGGTTCCCGAGCACAGCCGTGTCTGCAGCTCACCGTTCCCCCAGGGGATGGGCCAAATTAACCCAGTGTGTGAAGACTAATGGGGCTTTACCTTTAACTTCGTATGGGAGGACGATTGGTGGGTGAGCGATTGGCAGCTGGAGAACAGGTGTGAGAAGGCAGCTTAAGTGAGGAAAGGAGCGAGCCATGAAACACGAAGAGGAACTCAATCATTTTGCTATTTTAATCAAAACGTTCAACAAAAAGATGATTAAAACTAAAATTCTACCCTTTTTATTGACCAAAAAGTAAAACAAAAACACCAAATCCTGAAAATGCACTAATGACTGGGCGACATCTGTTGGTGATGGATTATTTCATTTGTGACGAGGTTTCCAAACATTTCAAGAGGTTTTCAAAGGGACGTCCGGTATCATCCCATGGGTCTGCTCTGTCTCAAACCCACAGTCGGTTGTGGGCGATGGCTGGTCATACTGAGCCAGGTAAGGGCAGTTTTCCTCTCCACGGTCGCTACATGCTTGTTTAGCATGGGGATTGCTTTAACGTCACTGAGACAACAAGTCAGCGACTCGGTGAAATCTGCTGGTTTTCCTCGGATGGAAAGCGTTTTACTAATTGGAAGGAGGAACTGAACTCAGTGCACCGATAAGTAGGCTCAGTAGGAATGTTTGCTTTGGGAAGGGCCTTGAGACTTGGATGGAGTGCATCACAAGCTTAGACGCTTTTATTAAAACATTTCATGGCTAATCCGCAACAAGAAAATTCCCAAATCCTTTGCAGTTGCATCTTAGACCTCACAAGACCCGGCCACGTATAAAACGTCTCCTAAAAGTGTCAAATCAGAGCGACTCCAACAGAAATTCTGCACCTTTTCCAGTCACCAAGAGTCACGGCTCAGCGGCGTGCTGCAGCTAACTCTTTTCAGATGCCATCTGAAGCCAGGCGCTCATAATAATTTAACTGGTGGCTAAAAGCCCAAACGGAACGCATCGCCTCTGCCACAAAATTAAACTCTGGCTGTTTTTCACGATCAATAGGTTTCCACAACGACATAATCTAGTTAGAGGATTAGGTTATGTGGTTTAAACTGGAGACAGAGTGGATCCCTAACCAGTCCTGACGTTATTGTCGGGAGGGCGGGGGATACAGCTTCTCTAGTCCGCACACAGCTCCAGCTTCCCCGTTGTGTCCACGGATAATGAAGTCAGAGCTCCTCCGCTGTATCGACCCCTCCAAGCGCTCATATCCCATTCCTGATGACCCATATCAAAGAAGAGCCAAGGCGTTGTCTGCCCCTCCCCTGCACTGTGACCTTCTCCATAATCTACTTTAGAAGATGGGTTATGCTAAGTGCTACTTCCATTGCTACAGCATTGATTTGGCCATTAGAGGAAGCGCATCAATACACGGAAGTAAGCGAGCTCGGAAAGACGACGAGAAGACCGGAGGAGGAAGAAACACCTCGGTTACCTCATGTTTGAGTCTGCCGGCTGCACCGGGGGCTTTTAGTTGGACTAGATTCTGTTTCTGAATAACAAATTGGTTTCAAATGAACTTTCTGCCTGCCTCAGGAGTACCTCTGCCTGTCTGACATTCTCCGGATCTTCCAGGCTGCGTTCGTAGCCTGCCTTCACGCTCGTTCTCCTAATCTCCCCGCAGACTTCCACTCTAGGAGATATTTGCAACATCAAAAGCCAGATCCTCCCACTTTTTTTCACCTACATGATTTGTTTTGCCTAAGAGAAGCTCCAAACAACACGCGCTCAGATGCATGGTGTTTTTTTTTATTCCTTTTGAACGGTTTTGAAAACCCACAAACAGAAATTAGGCTCTCTGGTTTTTGGGTTTCTTTGAGCAGCGTTCCCTTTTTTCCACTGGAGCTTTTTAAAAAAAAGTACAGACGACCTTTCAGGGTCACTGTTAAAGAGCTGCTTTGACAACTTTCTTCAAGGTCTCAGGAGATAATTCAATTTTACAGAACACTTTGCAATTAGTTGCATTCTCATATCAGGAGCAGGCACCCATAAAGCAAGCCTCGCCGTCGACGCTGCGTGCTCTCACAGGCCAGAGTGTCCGTCCCCTTTGCTGTTTGATTTAATTGAAATAAAAAGGATGCCTAATTGGTGGTGCAGAGATGTCTAATTTATTTAGTCACTATCTTGCCCTCGCTGCGGAGGGTTGTTGTCTCGGACTAGCAGTTCTTGTTCTTTCTCCTCCAAAATAAGAAAGGAGTAAGTGATTCAGAACTTGTGATCCTCCCAACATGTTAGCGAGCTTTTCTGTCGCACTGCAACCGTGACACTGCTTCTACCTGATGCACTGATAAAGCCACAGACCTGCCGTTCCACTAATTATTCTTTTTCTGCTGTTTCTTTGCAGATTGTGGTTCCGGGGCGTCGGGTTCGGGCGCAGAGAGCTGCGAACAGGAGCGCTGCGTGGCATATGACGGCGTTTGGGACGAGGACGTCGAGGGCGGACCTTGTTTTTGTGAATTCAGCTGTGAGAGCGTGCCTCAAAACCTGGTACGGCATCCGAAAACATTTCATCAAAAAATATTTATTATTTATCCTTAAACTTTCCTTTTTACCTTTCATCTTAAGGAGCAAGTTCGCTTAGAAAGCATTTTTTTACATATTCGTTTTGAAAATGATCAACCACTGTGAGTTTTCATGCAGGCTGAACACGAGATAGTCTCCTACACGTATCTCCTGCATTAACTCGCTTCAGAAAAGCCTGACAGGTCTACGTCACACTGTCACTTAACATTCATGGACTCGCCCATCTCGACTCACGACGAGGAAGGCGGTTTAGCGTCCAGGAGACAGCAGAGAATGTCTTGGCCAGTAGAAGCTAACAGTTAGCATTAGCAACTCCACAGCACAGCAGAACTCCATCAGGCTTGTGTTATTTGTGGAGATAAAAAATCTGCACAGAGCAAACACAGAGTCGTGTTGCTGTTAGCCAATCAGAGGCAGGATGTCCAAATATCAGGAAATAAGACTCAAATCCTGTCATCTGAAGCTACTTTCTCCTGCAGCTGATATCTAGATCCTCAAACAGACGCACCGGAGCTGTTTTCATCCAGGGAATGACTTGCAAAGCATTCAGTCCTACTAGAGACCACTGCAGATAGATTAAAATATGAGTAAAGCTGACCTTTAAAGGCCAAGTTCACTAAGAAAATGTTTTTACTTGTTATTTTTGAAAAATGATAAATCACTGCGAGTTTCACATTCTGGCTAAACATGAAAATAGTCTTCTAACCCATTTCCTGCATTAGCTACTGCATGTAGCAGTTAATACATATTAATTATGACCAATAAGATGTGATATTCCATACAAATATGAAATATCAATCTGATTGATCTTTGATTGTTTAATCAGAAGATTCTAGGGTTCTTTGCTTATTCAGGGACCATAAACACACTTCGTATTAATTCAGACAGAGTCAGTATATCGTTTATAAAATGAATTTAATTATTTTTCCTAAACTAATGATGCATGATAGGATATGAATAATGAGATATGACGTGGTGGATGTGAGGTGTTGTGATGGAAGCTAGATGTTGTAGCAACCGCTCTTTGTATCTGAGAGAAAATGTGAACTCTGGGTGTAAAAGAATTAGTTGTTTGTTATAAACTAGAGAGTTGTTTATTTATAAACCTCATCAGACACCAGTAGGCAGGCTTACGATACCCTTGTATGAGTTGCTCCCGGCAGTCTGGAGGTTTGCGGTCAGAGTGGTGAGGTCACCGGACGTCAAAACCACGACACTCAGAGATTAGTAGCTTCCTCTGAGTTCAGCTTCCCTGGCTCTGAGATGCAACGCGGGGTCTGCAGGTTAGGTGTGAAGTAGCTCTGAAAAAAGCTGTTGTGTCTGTAATCACTTGCAGCGTCGCAGAGAGGCTTTGACTTAAGGTCAAAGGAGTTTGTTTCAAAAGAGGCTTCTTTCCCGATTTGGCCGAATCGGGCTCAGCTGGACTCTGAATTACTCGGGAAGTAACTCTTGTTTTATTAAACTACTTTGTTATAATTTCTGGCCAAGTTTGGCCAATCAGAATTTGACACGTTTCTGAGTATTTACCAACATCCCTCAGAAAGCCATGCCTTCCTTCAGATACAAAAATGATTTTAACCTTAATATGTGTTTTATTGTAATGTGAGTGTAATCAATGATGAACTTGTTAAATCAAACACACACTGATCTGTGATATAAATAGATCGTTGTAAGAACAATATTCATAGATTGAAGCACAGATTATTCAAACATTTGATTTAAACATCTTGCTCATTCATCACATATGATTATTTAACTTATTACTATAACATCGTGGAGGCTTCACTTATTCAGAGTGAAGAATGTTGACACAGTGAGTGCAAGAACCTCGGGTGAGAATGTTTGTTTGAATGTTTTATCTTCATGGTATGTAAACACATGCTGAACAGAACCTTCTGGATTTAGAAGGCCAAACAGAAAGTGGATTTATGCTGCAGATGAAAGGTTATTATGTTGATCAATATATAGGTGAAAATTGACACTTTTGGACGTTACACCATCGTTATGAAATGAGCGGGGAAACGGTTTAGCATCCAGGAGAGAGCAGAGTGCGTTTTGGCTAGTAGAAGCTAACCATTAGCATTAGCAACTCCATCACACAGAACCCCTTAGGCTTGGGTTTTGTGAAGATAAAACATCAAGATCAATCAAGAGTCGGTGGTTAAGTCATGCTGCTGTTATCCAGCTGGTGAGTAGGTTATCCAGTATCTGGACAATGAGATGTGTGTAAATCAGATAAATACATGTTCTTCTCCCCTCTGCTCTTGGTTTTCTTCTACTTCCTGAAACAGGAGTGCCAGAGTTTTTTCCCCACAGAGATCGACTCACAAGGCTTTTGTTTAGACTAGAGACCGCTGGTCTGTCTTTCCACATGTCTTAATGCTTTTCCCTGCATTCCAAAATAAAAAAAACTGCTTTTGGTGTAAATTTGACTCGCTGGATTGATGTTGGGTTAAAAAGCTTCACATTTGCCCCTGTTGATGACTGTCTCACTAACTTACTCTATGAATTATTTATGGATCTGTGTAGCTATGTTTTGACACAGAAGTGGGAAAAGAGGAAAAAATACCCACAGTTGCAGAATCCGCGTGAAGTTGTTTTTTTGTTGTCGTTGTTTATTCGTACAGTTGGTAGATTTTTTTGATGCCCAACCTCATAATTTCCTGTCAGTACAGAATTTAATTACGTCCCTTGATTCCTGAAAATGGTAAACTTTATGAGATTAAAACTTTTAAACATGAATATTTTAATGGTGCTCAGCAGCTTTTAGTGAGTAATGCTTTTAAACATTCAAAAACAAATAAGGAAACTGTGTCAGTATCCTAGCTGAGACAAATTATATAAAGTAAAACCCAGCAAGCTGACAGAAAACAAGATTTTCTATTTGTCCTTGAGTGTAGTTTAAATAACTGAAAGAAATGATCAAAGTGCAAAGTGAGATAAAATCACGGTTTAATAATCGTACGCCGTGTCAGAAAATCATGCAACAATTTCAGAAACTGGAGAAAAAAGCTGTAGAAAACAAAATCAGGCGTAGATTAGTTCTCTGATTGACGCTCAGTTAACACCAGCTGAATCCATCCCGTAATACATCCCTGCTCCTTAACGTTTCTCGTTTCTTCCACTGTAGGTGTGCGGCTCTGATGGAAAGACCTACGACAACGAGTGTGCGCTAAAGCACGCCAGATGTTTGATGAAGAAGCACTTGATGGTTCAAAACCTGGGGCCCTGTGAAGGTCGGTACATCCACCTCAGAGCCTAATCTGATTAAAGTGAGCAGCTGCACCTTCATCAAGGCTCATCGTCACTGGCATCCCATTCCTCCACCCATTTTCATCCATCGATGGGGGGTGTCACGATAAAATTCCAAATATAATCTGTTTTTCATCTACGTGGCAAAAAGCTCACGAAGTAACATCAATAATGACTCATGTTTTATCCTTATAATCAAACAATTGGAGCCATTAAACGTGTCTTTCTGTGCACTTTTCTCTGCTTAGACTAATATAAACAGTATCTCTGTGCACGCAGCCAGTGGCATTTAGCGGCCCGGCTGATTGTTAGATCAGTGGCTAAGTAGCAAAGGTTAACCGTCCTCCTCTCTGTGGTTGTGCGCAGGGAAAAGATTTCACCAGTAAAGGCCGGAGAGCAGAGCAAAAGGCACTTAAGGGGTTTTGTGTGATCATTTCAGCCTGTTTGATTCCCCCCGGGTCCGAGAGCGAGGAGGACGGAGGGAGTTCATGAGAGGGAGTGTTTTCACACACATCCCTGCAGATTCTTCTTCCTAAGCCGGCCTCCTTGGGCGCTGACTGTCATGCTTCTCTACCCTGCATGGATAATCAATCCTTTTTCTTTTTTATTTTTTATTTTTTGAAGAGCCCTCTATGGGTACCAGACCTCTGTGCTCCCCTCTTCCATTGGCTAATGGCAGGATTCAGATCTTTGGGATTTTCCCTGCCCTCTTCATTAGCTGCGTGAAGGGAAACGCCGTTTTGACCTTACATTTAAAAAACTTGACTAAATTGATGTTTTTCAAGTCTTGGGACGAGTTTAAACGCTGCCATCAATCATCCGCTCATTTATGGGCTTTAATGGTTGCTGCCAAGTCCAGTCTGGGTCCAGAAATTTGTTTTGAAAAATAAACCCTGTTTATTGGTTTATTGGAGAGGCAAATATGTGCTGGGTGTGCAAAAGACTATCGTTGCAAAGGAAAAGAAATATGAAGGTAATAATGCCGCGCGTCACAGTGAGCTGCATTGTGCCAGACAATATCTACTGAAGGGGAAAAAACCCTCCAAGGGTGGAAGAACATATGAAATTAAAAGTTCTCCTTGTCCTAATAGGCTCAGTAAAGATAGCCGAATGCAGCGTTGGAAAGTGGCAAGTTAAATGAACTGTGTCCAAAGCCCATCTCTGGAGTGGGAAAGCGCTGGAAAAAGAGCGAGCCGAGTCATCACCATTAGGCTGAGGCTCATATCCACGCCAGTAATGGTGTGATTTATGGCCTCTGTATCTCCAGCCTCCAAACTCCAAATTAACAACATAAGAGAGGGAGATGGGGGGAGGAATAGAGAGAGGAGCAGAGATTTCTCCTCCTTCTTATCTAAAACTTTACTTTTCACCCAAAAGCTTGGAGAAAATTGGAGCCATGAGCTCTCCGTCCTGGCCATTAAGCCACCCCATTGTGAGTTCTGCTGCTCCTGTCCACTTCCTGGAGATGCTCCAGCTGTTGGAACACATCTGTTTTAATGCCGTTGAGCGTAGCTCTGTCACACCAGCATGGCGGCTGGTGCATCTTTAGACAAAAAGAGCCCTCCGCATGCAGGCAGGAGCTGCTCGACACATTCCCTTCACACAAAGCTGTTTGGGTTTTCTCTTCTGCTTTGTTTCCGTCAGCAGATGCTTCTGAGGTGGCAGCGCTACCCCACAACGTTAGACAAGAACAAATGAAGAGAACATGCCTTGTAGTGGGTGGTAAATGTCAGCTGCAGAGCTATTGTTTGTTTTCACTGGAGGTAATAGCATCATTTTCCCCCTGATTCTGAGCCATTATGGGGAAAGTAACAAATAAATTGTTATCTTGAGTCCGGCTGCCAGCCTCTCCACCTCTGCCCCTCGAGCCAATCTTATTGTTGGCAAAAAGTTCCATGTCGCTCAGCGATTGCGTTGTCTAATGCCCGCCACTGGACGCCGCCCACTAGTAATCACTCCCGTGCTCTCCTTTCTCCTCTTTGTGCCATCTTCTGTCTCCCCTCCCTTTTTTGTTCCTGCCTCATCAGCGAGTCCAATGGTAGCTCCGACCGAGCTGACGTCCGCCCAGCACTGCGGCCTGTCGCTGTACGGCTGCTGCTCCGACAACACGACGGCCGCTTTAGGAGTCGAACAGGCCGGATGTCCCAGTGAGTTTCACCCCTTTGTCTGCAGTTTGTCCTGAATTTCTCCTGTGAGCTCAAAAAACATTTTCCAGATACTATCAGGCTGCCGCAGCTTATTATAGAGGTTGTAACTAAAAGTTGCAGAGCGGCAAACGTTTTCATCCTAATCCGAGGAGTAATTATGATAATGCTGAAATCTCTGCATCTGATGATTTTAGCTAATGATAGCGCACAGATGGAGGAGGAAGCCTTGTATCAAACGGTAAGCCCGGTGATCCTGTATGGATAGAGAAAGTAAAGATTTGGAAATAAACAGATTTTTTCCAAATCGAAAACCTGACTAGACACGCTTAAAGCCCAGGGGCCTCATTTATCAGGCTTGCTTACGCACAAAACAGGGTCGGAAAACTGCGTTAGCAAATTTCCACGCAAACTTTGGGATTTATGAAAGAAAACTTTGCGGAAAAAGGTGCGCAACTTTAAGTTGTCTAAGGATCTGGCTTACGCACATGTTGGACATGGACAGCACCTGCAGTGCTGCTGCTGAGAATCCTGCAGCAGCATCCTTGTACCGCTTTGTGCGCACACAGAACAAGCCACCCCGCACTCGCTCATGCACGCAGACACACACACACACACACATACCCTGAAGCGCAGAACACGGAATGCTGAATATCAGCAGGGGGGCAGATTGAGACAGAATGTCATGCGTCTGTGACAGTGTGCGTCCTGTCACTGTGACCCGATTGATCATGCGCCCTGGCTAATTGGCAAAGGGAGATCTCCGTTTTGCTGACTGGTTAGCGCGCGTGACTCTCACCTGGGAGTCTGGGGATCGAATCCTGATCAGACCGTTGTTTTATATCCGCCACAGATCTCTCTGAAGAACTAAGCATTGACGGCTTCAGCAACGCTGACTCACGCCGTGGATTTTCTCTTATTTGTTTTGCAAAAGCACTTCCTTTCATTTCTCCGCCTCACCCACAAGTACCTCAACTTCTACTTGTGAAATAGCGCTTCCTTGATCTGCAGTCAGGATCGAAATGCTGCAACAAGCCGGCTTATGTATATGCATGAGATCCGCAAGGCACTTTGTATTGACCATTTATGGCAGTAAGTGGGCGTGGTGAGGGCAGGGTGTGACTAAAAAGCAGCTGAGAACCTTTCTCGTTAGTCTCTGATTTATGAAGCGGAGATTGTGTGCAGCTGTGCGTACTCCATGTTTGATAGATCACAAACCTGCTTGGCGTAAGTAAAATTTTTTGCTGAGCTTAAATTCGGTTTTAGTAAGGATTCTACGCAATGTTTGATAAATGAGACCCCAGCTCACTGAGAAACCAGTTTGTACTTGTTATTTTTTAAATATGATCATTCACTCTGAGTTTTTCAGGCAGGATAAACATGCCCATTTTCTTCCACCCATGTTTCCTGCATTAGTCGCTGATTGAAAATAGACGAGGAAACTCTCGGATTAGAAACGTCCGACAATTCTACGTCATAATGTAAAATTAGCCTTCATGGACTCACCCATCTTGTGACAAGGAAGGCTGTTGCTGATTTAGCATCCAGGAGAGAGCAGAGCGCGCCTCGGCAAGTAGAAGCTAGCCATTAGCATTAGCTACTCCACCACACAGCAGAACTCCTTCGGGCTTGTTTCATTTGTGGAGATAAGACATCAATGCTGCAGAGCAAACTGAGTCAGTGGTAGAGTTGTGTTGCTGTTTGCCAATCAGTGGGGAGATTTCTGAATATCAGGCCCAAGTATGTTTTTGTGTACTTGTCAAGTACCTCAGAAAGTCCGTTATACAGAGTACTGGAGGACGAGGATCCGTACAGGTTAAAAAAACGGCCTGAATTATTTTTAAAAAAGTCTAGTTTTTCCCTTAAGTAACAATTAATATTATATTTGTAAAATATTTGGTCCACTTTTTATGAAAATGTATACAATACCAGCATTCCCTGCTGGTAACTGAAGTAAAACTTAAACATCTCATCAAAACAGAGCTCTTTAAGGCAACACTGCTTTTATTTTGATAGTGGATCAGCTAGTTAACATTTTGAGCATCGTGAAGGGAAACAAAAACACAACCAATTTTACAGGTTATCCAAAAATCACACAGAAACCTTTACATTTGTTTATTTAGATGTACTTATTTGTATTTTTGATATAAAAGCAGCTATGAGCTTTGTTTTCTGCCTTCTACTGTTTGAGTGTAACGGTTTGCAACACAATGCATTATGGGATGCCCTGCTGGCCCAAGCACTTGAAGGATGCATCGGTGCATCTTCGATTAAATGGGCAATGGTTCGATGTTCACAAGTATGTGAGTAGACAAGTTCAGAGGAGTACGCTTATTGAGAAACAGCACAGGAAGTAAAACTAAGTCCTACGTCTTCTTCTCCCTTCTGCTATTGCTAACTTCTACTTCCTGAAACAGGAGCGCCAGAGATTTTTTCTCACAGAAATCGACTCACAAGGCTTTCGTTTCTTCTGAAGACCATTGCAAATGTGTTGAAAAAATGAGTGAACTTGGTCTTTAAATCCTTTATGTGGACTAGAGCGTACAAAACCTTTGATCTTTGCACAAATCTTAAATACAAACTTGCATTCGAGCCGTTTTGTTGCACGATGAGTCTCGATGACGTCCGTGTTGCTGTTTTCTGCTCCTCAGGTGTCTGTCAGTGTAACATCCACGGCTCCTACAAGGGTACCTGCGAGCCGACCACTGGGCAGTGCTCCTGTAAGCCCGGTGTTGGGGGACAGAAGTGTGACCGCTGTGAACCGGGCTTCTGGAACTTCCGTGCCATTGTGACTGAAAACATGAGCGGCTGCACGCGTAAGGAGTCCTTTAGACCGTTCAGAACACCTCACAGTTTGTATAAAACATCTTTTTATCCATTCGTTTCCTTTTTATACGGTGTTTCAACACAGAAAAGGCATTATTCCCTCACGTATTTAGAGCCAAACGCTGTACTTCATAGAGAAACATCATGTCTGCATCAGAAAAATATCAAGGAAATACAACGAAAGTCCTGCTAAATTACTTTTTATCTCTTCGACGAGGCAAGCACATTTCCCCTTGATGACACAACCAAACAAAAATAAAAGAATGGATCTCCGTAATCCTCGGTAAACACAACAAACTGGCTTAAGACATCTTAAAGTGAAAGAATAGATTTCTACAGATGAGGACAATTGTGGACGGATACTTTTCTCCCTCGATTTATCCCAGCGGCTCTGTATTGATCACATTAGACTTATTAATCACTGTAGACAAGAGGGGTAATTTGTTAGGAGCATTTTTACCGATTGATTTCCTTCTGTGTCTCTTCTGTCAAAACAGAATTGAATGAACTGTTCTCATTAGTATTCGGGTAAAGTGTGGGGTCAGGACCCCTCGTTTGTCTTGGTGTAATGCGATCTGCTGGCCAGCTTGCTTCCCGCCGCTAAGGTATCGCAGGGCAGGCACTTCCAAAGGCAGAGAGCGGTTTCAGTCAGCGGCAGGAAGCCTGCAGGTGTCTCACCTGTGGCCTGACCTTAACACGGTTTACCCAAAGCAAGCAGGCAGCTCGCAGAACACCAATTCCATTTTCAGCAGGAGAAGAGACACGAGAGCAAAACGCATCATTGTTCTAAGAACACGATGGGCCTGATGTCCTTCCCCGAGGTTGTTTTTTAAAAGGTTTCGGTTACAAACCCGCTCTCCTCCTCCTCCTTTCTCTCCCCCCTGTGGCCCCCGAAGCTAGCTGACCTGTTCCCAACCCCTCACTTTGCGACAAAGATGTATCTTCAGAGAGGTGTGCAGGCTAAAGGTGCTCCAAACACACTTAGCTCAATTCAAGCCCAACTATTTGTCTTTCTGATGTTGTCTTTAATCAACCAGGTCTTTTTGTTTTAACTGATCGTTTCTTTTCGTTGCAGCGTGCAGCTGCGATCCCATCGGTTCGGTCCGGGATGATTGCGAGCAGATGTCGGGCCTGTGCTCCTGCAAGACGGGAGTGAAGGGCTTGAAGTGCAACGTGTGCCCAGATGGAAGCAAGATGGGCATGAACGGCTGCGACAACGGTACTGAGAGAGGGAGAGAGAGAGAGTCTCGAGGCCGTTTAGTGAACACACACGTTTCCCTCGCTGCTCCTCTCGATCATGCTTAAGAGGGGTTTGTTCACTTATCTGATTAGTGGATAAGCCTTATGGCAGCCAGCTTTTCCTCAACTGTTCTTCACATCCATCAGGTTTATTGACAAAGAAGGAAGTGGCTGCAGGATGGCTTATCAATAGTGATTAGGAAAGTAGTCTAATTTACTAAAGGGCTGTTGGTGATGCAATGCCCATTGATGTTTTCATTTCTCTACACCATGCTGGATGATTTACAGTACCTACATCTATACGTTTAGATCTGTGTGTGTGTGTGTACACACTATTGATTGCTTTGATTAATAATGTAAACCGCCCCAGCGATTGCTCAAACTCAAAACCAGTTGAAGGAAAGGTTAGTTCCTGCTGTGGGGGCTCGCAGCCCCTTGATTAAGATTCACCATCTGACATCGACTGGAAGTCAAATGCTTAATGATGCCAGCAGTCCCGGCATAGTAGTGAGGCAGTCCGCCGCACACACACACACACACACACACACACACAGATGAAAAGGCACATTCTCACAGGGTGCAGCATATAAAAGTAGGTGCTAAGTAGGGGGTGTACTTTGAGCCTCTGTGGAGCTGCAACCTGATGATCCAGCTGGAGCCGCTTCAACAAAACGAAGAAAAAGTAAAACTGAGGAATCCAGAATGCACACTTGAGCAAGACCAAATAAATAATGCAGGTCTGCTGCAGTCGGAGGGCTGTAGAAATTGTTGTGCTTTATGAAATTTATAGCAACAGTAAGACATCAACAAATACTTTTGAAAGCATCATTTGGTTTTCAAGCCACTAAATTCAGTTTTTGGTAGCAAACAAGTTTAGAAATCACAAAAATCACCGAAACACCTGGGTCTGAAATGTATGGATTGCATTTGTGGGACAGAGACAACATTTTCTGTTGAAGTCATATCAGTTAAACGCAATGGCCACAGTACGACTGATCATGTATTTAGTGATTATAAATACCATAAAATTACATTTTAATCATTTTCTAACATTTTCTGTATAAATGTTATAAAATATTCAGCTTTTAGTCCTATTCTCTCCAATCACTACAGTAGGTATTTATAACTTTTATAATGAAATAACTTGAGTATTATTCATATACATCAGTGTACTTTACAGTTTTTTCATAGACAAAACCATAACCTGGTTTGTGACGAGAGCGAACAGAATGAGCATGAACCCAAACCCGTTTCCTCCACAGGACCCGGAGCCCCAAAGTCATGCAAAGAGTTGGTTTGCAGCTTTGGAGCAACTTGCACTGAGGTGAACGGCCAAGCCCACTGTGAGTGCCCGCCAACTGACTGCGATCTGAAAAACAAAACTAAGGTGGGTTTTAAAGTTTGCAAAAGTAAGCAGTATGACCTCTTGTGAGCCTCGGGGGGGTTAACATGTGTTACCCTCTCCCATCCCTCCATCTCTGTCACCATGGAGCAGGTGTGTGGCTCGGATGGGGTGACCTATGCCGACCAGTGCCAGCTGAGGACCATAGCCTGCAGGCAGGACGAGGACATTACGGTGCAACACTTTGGACAGTGCACAGGTGAGCCTTGTTAATACCTCCATACATCACTCAGCGACTGTCAGCAGCTCCTGGTCAGCCGTGCATCAGAAAAAGAAAACCATTCAGTTACTGTGCAATCTGGATCTTTGAAAATCCAAGTAGAGTACAATAAATGTTGCATGGATGTAGAAAGGGGGTGTGTATTGACACTGATCTGACGATACAAAATAGATGATATTTAGGATTTTTAAGGCAGAATAAACAGAATTATCTCAGGTGCATCTAAGCTGCCAATCAAATGAATGTCAACGGTTTAAACTTGTATGTGTGTGCCTACATTCATAGCTACGACTGTAAGTTGACAAGTTAACCTAACTCTCTGATAACATTGTTAGCATTTCTTCAACACTGTGCTAACGTTGGCTAGTAAAGAGCTAGCATGTATCACCATTTAGCAAGCCAAAGCAGAAGTTTGTTAACTCAGCTTCATAATGAATGTGGATGGACCCATACCATTTCAAATATTTGTCTTTATTTGAATGTGGCATCTTAAATACGGCCTGGATTCTCCTGTTGACCGATAATCGTTGGTAGGTCCTGCAACCATTGCCTAAAAAAATGCAATAGAGAATGGAAACATCACTGAAGAAGAAGAAGAAATCATTTTTATAGCGCCTGTCAAGATAAAAATCACGAGGCGCTTCACAAAAACAAAAAATGTAAAAACAAAAAAGCATTTAGAAAATGTTAATATATTTAAAATGAGCAAAATTGGACAATTGTGATTTAAAAAATGTTAAGAAGGAGAGAGAGTGAACAGGAAAGAGTGAAATCAGTGGATCCTGAGGAAGGTGGAATAGGTGGGGAGAGCTGTCACAAACAGAACTCAGAAGACCCGTGAAGATACCAACACAGTAAAAATATATAAAAAATATTTTATTGTAAGCGGAGTTACCAGGAGGGCGAGGCTGGAGACAGAGTCGGTAGGCAGGCTAAGGTCAAAAAGGCAGGCAGAATACAAGGCAGGGGTCAGGCAGGGTGAACTTCACTGGCAGGGCTGTAATAATCTGGCAGAGACTGGATAGCTGGATGGTTCTTATATAGCAGGGGAAGCAGGTGTGTGAGATGAGCAGAGGAGTCAGGAGCAGGTGAAGTGGATGAAGCTGATGACAGGAACAGGTGAGAAGAATGGAGTTGATTGTGGTTGCCAGGGAAACAGGGCTTGTCAGGAGCTTGGTGAAGGGACCAGGTGAGCTGAATGAAGGTTGAATGAGGAGGCAGAGGAGGGTGAAGGATGGGAGTCATGACAAGAGCAGAATAAAGAGAGAGTGGTGAAGAAGGTCATACAAAAGCCAGCTTGAACAAGTGAGTCTTCAGCTGCTTTTTAAAGGAGACCACCGAGTCCACTGATCTCAGGCTCAGGGGGAGAGAGTTCCAGAGTCTGGGGGGCCACAGCAGCAAATGATCTGTCACCTTTGACCTTTAGCCTGGTGCTGCACAACCAGTAGGCTTTGATCACTGGACCTCAGGGACCTGCTGGGGGTGTAGGGACTAAGAAGATCACCAATGTAAGATGGTGCTTGTCCATGTAAGGCCCTATAGACCAGAACCAGGATCTTGAAGTGAACCCTGAAGTTGACTGGCAGCCAGTGAAGCTGGAGGAGAAGTGGGGTGATGTGGGTGTGTTTGGAGGACTTGGTCAGAAGCCGAGCACAGGCATTCTGAACCACCTGTAGACGGTTCAGGGAGGTTCTGCTCAGACACGTGAAAAGAGAGTTACAGTAGTCTAAGAGTGAGGAGATGAAGGTGTGGAGAACTGTCTCAAGTTCAGAGCGGGACAGAATGGGACTCAGCTTAGCAACGTTCCTGAGATGGAAGAAGGAAGAGCGAACAAGAGAACTGACATGAGAATACAGGGTGAGAGCTGGGTCAAAGGTCACGCCAAGATTCCTGACAGGAGGTTTGGTGTGAGAATGCAATTTGGGAGTGATTAAGCTGGCTAAAAGGTTTGGAAGCATCAGAATGGGGATACGAGGAATAAACCCTATTGAACAACTTAGGCCAGAGCACGACACATCTAGAGTATTTTTTATTTAATTTTTTGTCCTGTCTGCCTGTGAAGCTATCAGAATTCATGTCTGAAATGCCGAAGACGAGCCTTACAGTTTTTCTCTCGCAGGTGGAGCGTTGTAGTGTCCCCTCCTCCTCTCTAAACATGTCTAGAGTTAAGACGATAGGAAGGCGGTAAAAACGGCTGCCACCTAGCAGCCGGAGTTTGAATTACACCACAGGAAAGACATGCAACAAATGTGTGTGTGTGTGTGTGTGTGTGTGTGTGTGTGTGTGTGTGTGTGTGTGTGTGTGTGTGTGTGTGTGTGTGTGTGTGTGTAAATTCTCAATAAAAAGCGATACACTACTTTTAAATCTCGAGTCGTTATCATAGCGAATAGCATAGAGGAAAACATAAAAAGCATAAAAAATGTAAAACTGTTGTACAATTAAAAAAATTATATAGAAGAAAACTTTTGGAAAATTACTAATTTGCTAATGAATTATGATAGACATTAAGGACTTGGTAAAGCAATTAAAGTCAATTTTGTGTCTCATTTTGATTTTGGATTTTATTTAAGATGTACAAGTATAAGTGTTTATATGATTTCTTGCTAATGTGAAAATGCTAATTTTGCTTATTGATTTTGTTTGTGATGTACGTGTAGAGATGTTTATTAGGACTGTGGAAATGGAAAGATGTTGAGGGAGACGGAGAAATGAAAAGCCTCGAGCTTTTCCCTATTCCGCTTTAAGGACCAAAGAGGAATCTCTAAATCCTCTAAATTCAGACATTTTTATTTTGTATTTGATTTTAATTTGTTTGAATGGTCTGAAGTGAAAAAATAAAAATAAAACAAAATAAACATAAATAAATAATAAATAAATAAATACATGTACTTTTTCTGAGTATCGATATTTTTTTACATGCTTAGGCAGATCCATTCTAGCTAAGATTTGCTATGTAAAGAAACCCCGCCTCTTTACTAAGTTGTGAAAAAGAAACGTGGCAGAAGAGGGTTGTAATGTGTGTGGGTATCTCTTGGTCATTTCAATACCAAATAATGAAAACTGACATCTGAGCTTGTTTAGTGCTATGAGATACAGGCAGCGGCGGTTCCTCCCTGCTTATTTAGCCCCTCTGTCGGGATTTGGCTTCGTCTTTAAACCCTCCCGATGGGAAATGTGTCAGTCCCTCTGCAGCTCTCTCCTGCCAGGATCACAGTGTTGCTGGAACGTGGCCGCATGTGTAAAGAGGGTGTGTACGGGAGGAAGAAGGTACAGCTCCGGTCCCTCGGTCCAGATGCTGACGGGCGTTGTTTGGATCAGTGTAATGGGCGCTGGGCCACATGCCAAGGCCACAGCTCTCGTGTAGAGGGAAGGTGTTGTGCCGACAGCCAGCTTGCATCACAACAGGACTCTAGAAAAGATGCCGGTAAGCGTTGAGGGGAAGAGGAACGCCAGCTGTGAGGTTGTGGCCATGAGTGACTGCCAGGTGGCTAACATTTTGTGGGTGGAATAATGTTCATTCACCTTATCACTGACTGGGCACAGATCAAGTGACCAAGAACTGAGAGATGAGTTTCCATCTTCTAAATCTGTCACAAATGAGGACACATCCACCGGAGGTCAGGCTGCCAACGTGGCCTCGGAGACGTTGCTGTTTTTGGGCACACGGATAAAAAAATGAATAGAAATATGCTCATTGAGAGACAGACAAGGCTTTGATAAGTCCCAGAACATCTGGTAATTACACATTCAGTGCCGTGGGTGGGTTTCAAGCAAAAGGAGCCAAAATCCAGGCTGGTTTCAGATCCCTCTGTTGCCTGGCAATAGAGATGTGGGTTGTGTATAATCTCTCACCTAGCATTGCTGCACACGGAAGGCATGAAGACGCCTTCCAGCGGACTTTTTCTCTATCAACCCCTCAGGAGGGGAACAGTCAGGCGAGCACCCGGGCTCACCGGCGGCCGCAACAGATCTTTTAATTTCTTCTCCCGGATGCGGTCGCACCACGGGCTGCCACTGCTGTCAGCTCGGGGGTCTGATCTCAAGCTCATTTCACGTGTGGCTGGGTGCGAATTAGCATTTGCTCTGCCTCCACCCCTCACCACGCCACAGCTTTGCCTGCTTTCCCACCCGCTGTTTACACGCACGGCTTCCAGACGCCCGGCCTCGGCGCCGTTGCATGCTAATGCTCAACAAGCTGCTTTGTGGTTTAACAGCAGAGCTATGCCAAAAGGCTGTATAAGTGAGCGAATATTGATTTTCTTCCACATTGTAGGTCTGTTGAAACTGCAAAGGTTGGGATTGGGGGAACAAAGCGTTACCACAACTTGGTGATTTTTTTTTTTCTTTGACCAGAAGTGACAGCAAACTGTGGAGTAACCTAGTCTGGTTGGGTAAACGGACGGGGAGGGGGTCTTGTTTGTGTCTCCTCAAAAGATGAAGACCCGGCTGAAAAATTCAACAAAAAGTCAACAAGCATGAAAGGGTTATTAGTGGTGAATTCTGTTACTGGGAGAACATGTCCACTGGGCTGGCAGTGACCCTCCCCTCCCATATGGCGCTATCACCTGTAGGTTTGTGGCAAATTGGCAGCGATAGGCGGCATATGTCACATGCAGCCCGCCGCTTGTGTGTTAGTCAGAGCTCTGTTGCCTTCACCATCCCCCCTTAGCACTGTGAGATGTTCTCTGATTGTTCGCGTCCTCATTTCATTTCCTCTTGACATATTTTTACCATATTGGGCAGCAGTAGCTCAGGAGAATGAGTAGGTTGCAGGTTCAATCCTGCTTATGGACAGAGAATTCTGTTGTTGTGTCCTTGGGCAAGACACTTAACCCACCTTGCCTGCTGGTAGTGGTCGGAGGGACCGGTGGCGCCTGTGCTCGGCTGCCCCGCCTCTGTCATAGCGCCCGAGGGCAGCTCTGGCTAAATAGTAGCTCATCATCCTGAGTGTGTGAATGGATGAATGATGCACTGTAGTGTGAAGCACTTTGGAGTCCTCTGAAAGGAGCTATTCGAGTGCGGATCATTTATCATTTGCTCCCCTGCACTTTTTTAAAGGCGAGGTTCGCTTAGAAACAGTTTTTTACTTCTTTTTTTTTAAAATAAGACCAGTTGCTCTGAGTTTCACATGCAGGCTGAATGTGAGTCTTCCACTCCTATTTTCTGCACTAGCTGCAGAAAGAAAATAGACGGGGAAGCGCTCAGGTCAGAAAATGCCACTGTGAAATTAGCATTCAGGGACTCACTCATTTTGGCTTGTAACCACAGAAGACTCCTGATATCAGTGCTGCAAGGAGAATGCACAGTGCGTCCTAGCTAGTAGAAGCTAACCGTTAGCATGACTGTACAACACGTCCATGCTTGTGTCCTTTGTTGAGATAAAACATCAACGTTGCATTTTGTACCCAAGAAAGTAGCAACAACAACGACCGCAGAGTTGTTTTGCTGTTAGCCCGTCAGAGGCAAGATGTTAGCACATCATAAATATTAAAGCTACGCTAGTAAAAGTGGGTTTCAGTGATTCTTAAGGTAGAAACTTTACCAAATTTACATTAGACAGCACTCTGCAGCTCACTTAGGTTTTGCAGGACTGGTAGGTGCACTGCTGTTAGCTGTTTACTAATTGATCGGCTAGTAGTTAGCTTTTTCAGCTTTTTCAGTTTGCCACCTTTCAGCAGAAAACAATAGAAGACAAAGAAGTTTGCTTTTTTTTGTCAGCCTCATGGCAAACCCTGGAAGTAGAAGCAAGAGACAAATGTCTTTTTGAGACGCAGCAAAGACCTAAAACATTGCTGTACACTAGTTTGAGGACGCTAAAGGAGGCTGAGAAATAACAGATTGATGGTGACCTGGTGTGTTTCTCAATGTCAAGGCGCCTGACCTTGCGAGGCGATGTCTAGTGAGGCCAGGTGCCTTGCTTAAAAGGACACTGTCCTTCCGCGGCTTCCACGGTGGTCACGTAATATAACATGACACGGGAGATAACGTTATATTTTATATGTATTAGTTTCAATCTAAATATATAACGAGCCTTTTACTTTTTAAATTGTGTATGTGTTTATTAAATTAAAAATATAAGCGAGTTACTACCTGCTAGCCACCGAAGCTGCAACTACTAAGCAACTAACCAACCATAGATAACTTCTTTGGATCTAAAAAAAACATTTTAAATTAGCTGAATTACTTAACTTTTAAGCTTGAAAATTGTCCCTGAAGTAGCTGCCGGCTTCTTATCCGCCATCTTTTTGAAAATACTGCGGTGTATTGTGGGTAATTTTTGACCAAGGCTAGGCTACAAGACACCTCCCCTGTATCCTTGCACAGCTAGCTAAACGGCCAACAAACGGAGAACACCCTTCGGTAGAACATGAACATTGGAACACTTCTTGGCGGCTCCTGATGACGTATCTCCTAGGCAACCGGGGCGGGGCCAAGACATCGAGGCAAGGTTCCTTGGTATTGAGAAACACTTCTGGCTTTGTTTCTTCTAGACTTGGAAGTAGTACTTTTTGTTCAGCAGTGTAGATCTTTTTACTTCGTGGCTTACTTGGTGCCAGTTGGCTCATGTTAATGTTAGCTTGTTGTTAGCACTTGCTAGAGCAGGCTGCTGCAGTGTTGCTCATGACTGTTGTAATTACACTTTAAACCAGTAGGGCGGAGGGGCAGGAAACACTCCTCCGACTAACTTCTACTTCATTAAACAGGACCGTCAGAGATGTTTTTCCTGTGAAAACGACTCATAAGGCGTTCATTAATACTAGAGGCTAGGGCAGGGCAATCAATCGAAAATTTATCGATATTTCTGACTCATCGAGATAATTTTTCCCATGTCAATAAATTAGATAATAAAAAAAATGAAAAGATGTGTGTAGGTTGGCAACGTTCATGTCCCTTTAAGAAGTTGTACCACCTTGAGTCACATAAACATCTGATTTAACGTAATACATGAGACAGCCCCATCTAGTGGACAACTTTTGTTTCTGCGCATACGTGTAGTTATCGTCCATTTATCGTAATCGAGGTGAAATCCTCAATACATTGTGATATTGATTTTAGGCCGTATCGCCCAGCGCTACTAGAGACCACAACAAACGTATTGAAATAATGAGCGTGTGACTCGGTTAATCTCTCTCTTTAAAACATTTTTCCCTGTCATCCCTTCTTGTTTCCTACGTGGGTTTTCTTGTCATTCCCCTTATCGCCTGTATCCAGCCCCCTCCTCCTCCTCACAGAGGGCGGCTGACACCACAAACAATCTTAATAACCACCTTTCAACCACACTGGCTGAATCAGGCTGAGAAGACAATCCGTTTTGGCCTGTCTTTACCCCGTTAACATTACTCTCAGTTGTTCTCAGAGGAAATGAAGGTTAAAAACAGGAAGTGGACTGTTATATCTGATTAAAGGAAGCATCGTGCTGGAGGTTCGTCTCTGTTATTTCAAACATGTTTGTCTTTCTTTATCTCATATCAGAGTTTGCTTTCCCAGATATGCGCGCACAACCAATCACACTTTCCAGAGAGTGAGCTTCTTGACGCTCAGCTTAGCGCCTGACTGACAAGTGTGGCCAAGAGGAAAGGCAGTCCACGCCACCGTTCTTGGTGATAGCATCACAGCTCTTTGAACTCCGCCAAACATCTCTCCGTACACAAAAAGAAAGACACCGCCTAGCTTAAGGTGTCTCTGAGGGATTCTCCTGTCTCCGTAGCGATTGCATTTCACACCTCGATAAATAATTTCCAGTAAAGTCAGTGATTATAGAGATGTAATTAAGTCTTACACAAACTAGTGTTTGGCGAATCCTAATGAGGTGCAACTCTGTTTTTTTCTGTCCTCGTCTCTATTTCTGCCTCTCCGTAAGACACATCTATTCTCGTGGGATGAAAGAAAAGGGAAAACAACAATGTTGTCACTCCTTTCTTGACTAAATCTGAAGCACTCACTTAGCGTCTCTCCAACAGCTCGCTCGTCGCCCTCAGGAGTTTTTGTCCTATTTATCGTTCTTTCATTGCAGACAGTTTGTCCTTTTACACCAAAGCTTTTTGCATTGGTAATGATGGTCTCTTTACACAGAGGCTCCTCTCCTCTTCTCATTTGGAGTTGTATTTTTTCAGCTCTGTCTTGTGTGTTTGCTTGTGTGCATCTGTTGACAGCAGTGCGTTTGTGGTGGCGTTGACGGATGCTCGCACTCCTTGCAAGCAGAAGCCTGCCATCTTTGAAGCCAGAGCACAGCCGATGTTTATTTTTTATTTTTTTGCCCCATTTCTATCAATCATTCATCACTGGAGGCACTGGCTTTTGGTGATTAAAGCTTTGCTTCTGCAGGGCAACATTTGAATATGGATGTGTAATTCGTAGGCACGAGTAAAGCTTGCACTAGGCTTAAAAACATGCACACGTGCGTGCAAATGCCTGCCGTACGTCTACACAAGCGCAAATGCGCTATGAGCATTGCCTAGACTCTAACTCTAGGAAAAGACTTCATCTGCAGGTTGGAAGCTCTAGCGTGTTCCATAATCATTTGTGAGTGGAAATCCTGACATGTCATGCATTTCTTTGGTTTGAATCAAAATTTACTTTATGTTTTTGTTTGAATTTAGTTTCATAAAAGCTTTGCAGATCATCAGAGAAGTTTATACTAAAATAAGGTTTTGTAGTTGAAGCAATATCAGACATTTCCATCTTTGCCCAGTCATTCATCCATTCCTTGCTTCCTCCCCTTCCCTCCACCAGAATCCATCTCTGAGCTAGCAGACCGACCCACCCCCAACCTTCCCACCGCCGCTCCCAGCTCAGCTGTCGACACTGCCATCACCGCCACCACACCTTACCCCAATAACATGGTGTGGGCCATCCCGCCTCCAATAACGGCCGAACAGCAGTTCATCGATTCGCCTCAAACCACCACCGATTTTTCCACCACCACCACCACCCACAGCCGCGTACGATCCTTCCACCGCCTTGCCACCCAGCATCAGGGGCCGCATCCCACCGCCGCTGCCAGCAACACCCCTCCACCCCGCAGCAGTCCTGTTCCCACCACCTCCGTCTCACCTGCTTTTGATGGCTCAGGCAGCGGGGAGCCAAGCGGTGACGAGCAGGCCGACGAGGAAGATGATGGCAGTGCCGTCACATCAGAGGCCAGCGGGGGAGACGAGACCGTTGGTAAATCGCTGCTCTTTCACTTCATTATCCATAAATCTTTAAGGGTAAGCTGATAGCTTTTTTTTTTCTTGGTTGTATAAATAGTTGAGCCTTGAGTGACATCATAACATATTCATGCCATCATCAGTTAATTAAAAACTAAAAACAGAAATCAGGTTTCTATAATTGTATGCAAATCGATTTTGAGGAGACAAACGACTAATCCTGACAGGCAGGAAGGAGAAATCTTTGTAGAGCGACGCTGTTAGTGTCATCTCCACTTGCAAGACATGTATATCTCAATATCTGACAGGAAGGAATGTATTTCCACGGTTCGCTGTTGCTACATCACCCAGGCTTTCTTCCCTCCCATTCCACCAGCAGCTCTCAAAACAAACCCAGGCTCTGTATAATACACTCTCTGCAGGCCGGATGGATGAAACCGCTGGCCCGAGTCTGGAGATCTCCAGAGCCTGGCTTGACAGGCCAGTGTGACTGGGAGGTGGAGGTGCTTGTGTAGTCGGCACATCTTGTCACAGGACTCGTCCCTGGTCCCTTCCTGGACAAGATGACTGAGACTTTCTGAGTTATTTTTCCTGATGCTGCATGGTTTCCATCCATCCATACACCATTCCTGACAGCTTTCACTGACAGAATGAAACGATCCAGGGTGTTCTTCCTCAGCTCTTCCTGTTCCTCCTTTTCCTCTCCTACTCGGTTCTTCTCTACAAGTTTTAGATTTATTCTCCTGTCAGAGGCTGACCCCAGCGCTCGGCGACGTGACAAGGATGTTGTCACTGCGCAAAAGAGACCCCACATCTTCTAGCTGTGTGTGTGTGTGTGTGTGTGTGTGTGTGTGTGTGTGTGTGCGTGTGTGTGTGTGTAAAACTGCCAGACTTTTCATGTTTTATGTGACGCGTTAAACAGTAACACACAGATTCCGTCCACACTCAGAGGATTTAAAAAATTTCAACATGTAATTAAAAAAAAACGGTCCTTTCCACCTGAGTGTAAGCATCGCGACACGTGGTTCGCAACGCTGCCATTATAGTGGATGAGTGTGTTTTCAGCCATAAAGCGTTACGTTTTGAAAGCTGTTCCAGAAGCGTATGAACATGTTGCTTACACTACGCTTCGCTCAGATAATCGAGTCAGACAGGAAGTCAAACACGAAAGCAGTGTAAAACTTTCAGAAACTTTCAAAATAAAAGTTGTGTGCAGATTTCCAGTTGATTAACTAGCAAAACAATTCCTAATCACCTGTGAAACCTCCGTAGCCGTAAACAGAACAGAAAATGAATTAGAAATCTTTTTGGATACGTATTTCTTGCTTGCTATCCCGTGAACTGCCAAAATCCCGCGTGGTGTTGCAATTCTCTCGTGATTTTGTGACCTTGCGGGACCGACTGCGTGGAGCAGCTTTGTTGCCATTTCGTATCTGAAATTCTCACAGTGGGGAGGGAGCTCATGGGTCAAACGTGTCTTAATACGCAACGCACCGCTTACGCATCCAGAGGAAATGCTGGTTTCGTGTTTTTATATGCGTGTGTGTGTGTGCGCGTGCCCCCCTTTTTCCCTGTGTCATTTGCTTTGTCTGATTCAGATTGCAGTTATCCCTCTGTCTGAAAATAAAACTGCAAGAAGGTCAGAAGTGTAAATTCACACATTTTTTGTATCCGTGCACGTTTGAAATCTGCACTTATCTGTGTGTGCGTGCAGGCGTGTTTATTTGACAGCTCTCATGGCTCCCACCGGAGTCCAACAGAGGGCCCTTGCTGTTATGCACTGCACCGTTTTCTCCCTCTTCGGTCCAACATCTGTAAATCTGCAGACCACACGTCAACATATGCCCTGTAAACCCCTCCCCCTCCATCCCTTGACCGTGAGACCTTGAGCAGGACATCCCTGGCCTCTTGACATTTTTACGACTCGTTTAGCCGTGAGCACTTTGCCTCTGCGATTATTTCTAATCTCTGTGTGACTGTAAACTGCACCGCTTCGACGGAGACAGCCCCCCTTCACCAACAGCATCGTTACGAGAAGGCGGCAGCTCGCTGCTGCTGCAATCTCTCAGACGGGGGAAACTCAGCCACTTTTATGTTTTTTGCATCTCAAGATTTCCAGATACAGTGATAGTAACACACACAGGACAGTGTTTTCTTCCTCCAGGGTAACAGGCAGGCAGTCTGCAGTTATCACACTCCCCTATCATTTAAAGGGCTCTGTGTGTGACATGACTGGCAACAGTGCCCATTAAGTGCCTGACAAAATGAGTTCCAGCTGTAAAAATCAGTGCCCACGAAAATGCCATGTAATCACCCTGACAGATGCCTCTATTAGTGTTCAATCAGTGGTCAGCAGACTGAAAACACACACACACACCTGTAGAAGCAGCAAATGTAGAAAGGTTCTAGGTTTTCACCTTAGAAATAACACCTGCTTGTGAATTTGATAGAATTTTTATTGTGATGAACTGTGTGTCACCTACAGGTTCCACCGTGGCAAACATCACTGCACCCAGCGCTGAGGACTGGTCATCCTGTGATAACACAGAGTTTGGCTGCTGTCCCGATGGCAAGACACCATCCAGCACCCCAGAGGGCGCCAACTGTCCCCGTGAGTTCACATCTCCTCCAGATAAATGATCTTACCTCCCTCTTCTTAACTCATTCACTGCCAGCCGTTTCCTGACCGGTAAAGCCCTTCGCTGCCAGCGTTTCTCGCCATTTTTAATGTTTTTTTAAGAGTCACAGAACGTTGCGCTCTAGGATGATGTCGACGTCAGAACAACCAAAACAAAGCGGAGACTCACCTCTTACATTAGGAAGAATCCGCGCGTTTCGAGCGTTTTCCGTTCTTTCATAATCCGTTGTCGAATTGTGATCGGCAGACGCTTTTCCGGTTTGCGCCTCACTTTTTTTACAGCAGCGGCCCAAAACGATCTCCTAACACATGGATTTCTGCTTCCTGATCACGTGACGTGTGACGTACGCAGATGAAGATCGGCTTTAGAGCTGAGATGTTTGTTCTCGCGGTGCGGGGGCTCGTCCGACGCCCACACAGTAAAAAAAATGCAAATGACGACTTTAGTCGTCAATGGCAGTGAATGACTTAAACATTCTTGCCTTATCTGCTATAACACAAATAACAGGCCAACATTTGAATTCACAGGTTCATTAAATTCCAATAAATCTTTTTTGAGATGTTTTTTGGGCATTTTTAGAAGAATATGGTGGAGATGATTCAACAATTTCAGTAGAGCACAAAATGACTTTACAGGCTTTTTCTGACTCAGTTGTGGATTAGTCAATCTGATGTATCATCGGTGGGGTCTAATAATTAAGGTTAGGGTTGTTCAAAGTGTGGCCCAGGGACCATTTTTGCCCCTCAGAGCTATTTTGTGCGGCCCCAGTTTCATGTCTAGAATGGTAGACTTGTGTTTATCCAGCAGGCTGTTGATGAAGAGCGACTTTAAAGGTGGCCTAGAATTAAAAGCCACATCTACGTTGATGAGTGTTGGCAGGGTGGGGTGGCTAATGTACCAAACACTCACCGACCTACCGGGGCAAGTCTCGGCCCATAGAGAGAGCTCAGCTGTGGGGCAGAATCTACTGTTGTCTTTTAAATGGCCTCAACATGCTACTGGACAACAAACAATGTCACATACTCACCGCTACGGATATCAGCTAGCGGGGGCAGTCCGCCATACACCATCAAAAAAGACACAAGTGCATCTTGTATCTAAATAAAAGGTACCTCTATCTGCCCTTGACTCAAAGAAAAGCCGAAGTCTAATTAGTCCAAAGTTGCCAAAGCCGTTTCAAACAAACCGTCGCCATCTTTGCTTTTTCACCCAGTCACAGTAACATCTCGCCCACCAAACCGATGGAGCGCTGTGATTGGCAAGACACGAGACTGTTTGGGCCTGCTGAGGTTCCAATGGAGCGTGGCTAGATCGACTTGGAGAGCAAAGTCGTTTTGCTTCTGCTAGGGTTGGTCTAGATTTCTACGCTAGGGTCGACCTGCTTTCTGAAGCGAATCAGTAACGTTGTAGTGGCCACAGAGAAATGATTCGTTACGTAGAACAACATTAGCCCGAGCTAACACTAACCTGAGCTAAGGCTAACCCAGGTTAGCACTAGCCCGAGCTATTGTGACTGCCAGGGATTTTGGAGAGCGTACACTCTAGGGTATACTGGGAATGTCCAGAGTTTCAATGAATGTCAGAGAGATCCATATGTAGTGGGATGAGTCACCTGCCACCAAGTAATTGGACGACCTATCATTGAGGGAAGACGCTCATATAAATAGGGCCTGAGGTGGCGCTACAGCGATCTTTTACTTTGGCTTAACTTCCGCTTCCTGTGTGAAGAGCCGTTGTGTACGGGACTCCGGCGTGTCGGACTGTGAGTACTATTTAAAAACGCTGCAGTAGTTGCATGGAGTCTGGTGTTTATTGGTTGCTCCTGCCACACATAGCCTGCAGTCTGGTACAACAGAGTACAGCTACACACTGCCTTGTCTGTGCCACACACACACACACACACACACACACACACACACACACACACACACACACACACACACACACACACACACACACAGTTTAAACAAACCACAGTTTGTGACCTGGTGGAACTTTGAACTTGACGATTTTGTCCCTTTACTTGAAATGTTTTTGTTAGATTTGCAGGCTACGTTTTTTTTTTTTTTTTTTTTTGGCAAGTGAATGTTTTGGTCAGCTTAGGACCGCCTCAGGCGGAGATGTGGATGTTGGTTGGGATCAAAGAGAGCAATAGGTATGGAGTACGTGACTGGGATGTATCGACATGGATGTGATTGAATAAGGAGGTCTGAAGCTCTTTGGAGAGTCATCGCTGAGAAGTTGAGGTTAGTAAAAGTGATGAAAGAGGATGAGGAGTAAAAGATGGATTATACAGAGGTGTGGGATGAAGGACGAGGAGGATGAGGGTCATCTTAAACCTAGTTTAGAATATTCACTCTATGAATGTTGACCAGAGCTACGGCGATGGTGCAGGAGCTTTTTCTGAGGGTGTGTGTGATGCATCTAAAGGATAAACACTGATTACTGCCACCACCAGCAGGGGGAGACAGTGACCACTGGTGACGTTTTGATTTTATTTCTCTGCCCTTTAGGTTCCTTTTATACTTTTATTCAGACATACCCTGTCTGTGCCACTGCTCTGCTGCTCCCTGCTGAGCTACGCCTCACGCTCTTCTCACCCCCAGACCCGTCAGTTCATTTCTCTCTGGAGTCGAGCGCAGAAAGAGCCCAGAGACTAGCAGAGGCCGACGAGTGCTGTTGTACCAATCAGTGCTTTCTGCCACAGTGGCTTCATAAAGATAAAGGGCTTCATCCCTAGGCCTTTCCCCCTCCAGCTCTCCATCTCGGTTTGTCCCAGCACTGGCTGTTTGACTGATTGTGAAAAGAGGGATTCTGTCTTGCTCCCAGGGGAGCTTTAAGCCATGACTTGAAAGAGCTCGGGCCACAAATTAGTGCAAGGAGTTGCATCTGTGGCGTGTTGAAGGTCCTAAAGCCTTCCAGTAAGCCAGCGGAGTTTACTGCCTCCGCAAGATCTGGAGACATCGGTCCACCTCTGGCCTTCCTATTCCGTAAAAAGGATTTATAGCTAAACAGATGTGGTGCGTCGACGTGAGGCTTTACGACCCCCTGGACGTCGAACCCAGCCGATGATGGAAGCGGGTCACTTCAGCCGAAAAGGGAGCGTTATAAAAAATCAGCAAAAGCTGGAAAATATTTATGTCAGTCAACAACGACAGTGCGCCAGAGATCAATACTTCATTCAGCTCAAGTGTTGCCAATAAATTCAGGCAGGACGATTGGCTGATCGATACGTTGGATCGTTTTTGGGGTTTTTCTGTTTCCCGCCGATCGTCAGCTCATTAGACGTGAGAAGGCACGTCCCTCATGCATCAGCTGCCATCTCATCGTACAATCCAGCTTATTGACATCTGCCTGATCGCCACAGAAGAAGTTATTATTCATGGTTTCACATTTTAGTGAGACATCCAACACTGCCGTCTTCACACACTTCCAGGATGCTCTTGGTGTGTGTGTGTGTGTGTGTGTGTGTGTGTGTGTGTGTGTGTGTGTGTGTGTTTAAGGCTTTCTCACACAGAGAAGATAATAATGGAAAAGCAGCCTTTGAGGCAGTTTTTGGTTTCATTTGCTGAATGTTGTATCTTTTAAAAACCAATGCCGGTCTCCGTGTTGCATTTTAACAAGGCCTTTTACGCCCACATAAGAGACCGTGTCCGGCGAGTACTCATGAGAGAGTTATTACACACTGAGCTCTACTACCATACAGTAAAACTCTACCATATGCCGGGGGAACTCTGACAAATCCATTACATTTAACAGTTCACTAGAATCTGATAGCTGAACAGCTCCGTCCTTCCTTTTATCCCTTCTTTTTTTATCATCTGTTATGGAAGTGGGCTGGAAAATCACCCTCTCTGTTTGTCTTCTTTCCAGATTAAAAGTCCGATATGACTCTCTGTCCCCCCGCGCTTTTCTTTACCGTCTTCCGTCGACCATTTGCTCCAGTTTTATGGCCGCCGTCACATCTGAATCAATGTGTGCCGCCCGTGAAAGTACAGCAAAGAAAGCGAGGATGGATGAAACAGGAGGAGGGGGCGATGGGGAGTGTAGTGGCTGCTGTCCTTTTCACGCAGTTTTAACTAGACTATGTCAGTCATCGGTCTGGCGACATTAAGGAGACAATTACGACTATCTCTCACGATAATCATACAAGTGCTCTTGCTATCCTCGCCTCCGTTGCTCAGGCAGGGGCAGCAATGATTGATTTGGGCAATTTGTTCTGCTGATTACAAGCGGCATGAAAGCACGGCGTCAGCGCCTCTCACGCTCCTATTTACCGCACACACACACACACACACACACACACACACACACACACACAGCTTTATCTTAAGTCCTCCTCTCACCAACGGTAGTATGAAGGTACCATATAAAAAGTTGATGTATGTTTGACAATGCCACGCCCCTCAAGGTTGAACACGAAGGCTCTGCCTTTGTGGGACATGGTGGTGCTCAGTGTGCCTCTAGGCTGTTTTCTCGTTGGTTTGTTGGTGTGTTTTTTATTTTTCATGCATTTGTTGGTCTGTCTAACTTCTTGTCTTTCTACCCAGCCCTCCATGCCAAAGCCTACTTTTGGGATGAATCTGGATCTGGTAAAACTGGCCCATTTTCCCTCCACCTTCCCTTTTTTCCTTCCTTCTTTCACATTTCGCACTTCCCGTCTCTCACCACCTCCACCTCTACCTTGACCTTGAGCCAGCCAAACTCCAGCCTGTTCCAAGACCACCAACCCTTCAGGCGATCAGCAACCCATCGACTAACCCCGCCTGTCAAACACACACACAAACACACGATCCATCACTCACCCAACCCCTAAAAGAGCACCATGTGAAGGCAGTGGCAGCCAGCTGGGTGATACAGGAAGAGGGTTCAGGCTACAATATGGTGAACATGGGGGTCATATTTTCCTTGCATTCTCTCTCTCCAGCCACCATGAAGTTCTCTGGCACCCTGAACCTGGACCAGGTGGAAGGCCAGGAGATTTTCCACACACCTGAGATGGACGACCCAAAGTCTGAGCTGTTTGGAGAGACGGCCCGCAGCATAGAGAGCGCTGTGAGTCACTTCCAAGATGGTTTTCATCCACTTTGACCACATTTGCTGTTATTTTGCCCATAAAATAAATGAAGGGTTGCTCAAAATGCGCCCTCATTTTCCCGAATTTCAAGGATGGCTCTGGCATCTGGCGTCATGGGACAAGTTTCTGTTTTTGTACTTTTGGTCTTTTAAATGTTAGCATATTTATCTGTGGCTGTAAAAAATGCTAAACTGAAAGTGTGTGTGGTGTTAGGCTTTATTTGTTTGAATATTTGTTCAGTTAATATATAGTTTTTTCAAAAAAATAATGGTAAACAAGCTCGTTTGGTGGTTCCTGCTGTTTGCTAGGCCAAAACTCTGAGATAAGGGCAGGATCACATATGAAGGTTAGACAGACGCTTGCTTCCCCTCGAGGAAGGACCCGACTTCTGTTGAGCGGGTAGGACAGGTTCTTACAAGAATGCTGCTCCTGGATTTGGCCGTGATTTAAGAACAGTTGAGCTAATGGCTAGTGCTAGCACAGCCAAGACCAGACCCCTAGTATGGACAGGGCATCCGCGGGTCCTTAAAAAGTCTTAAATTTGCTTTTCCAAATTTAAGGCCTTAAAAATCCTTAAAAATGACAAATAATCCATAAATACAGTTTCCAAATGTCTTAAATTTCCAAAGACCCAATAAACAAGATTATTTTATTTCAATTTTCATGAATTTCTAGTTAGTGTTCAGCATTTTTTGTGTATGATGTTGGCATAAGTGGAACCGTACACATTCAGTTGGTTGTGAAAGGGGGCTTTTTTAGATGAGCACATTAGCTGGTTAAGCTAGTGGGAGATTGCACCATGGGGATGTGCAACTTTTATGGTAACTGGATGGCTAATCCCACGTTCGCAATAGCTGGAAATTATAGTTTGAATTTAATTTTTAAAAGTAGCTTAAATTTGGTCCAATTGGCCTTAAAAAAGGTCTTAAAAAGTCTTAAATTTGGCTTCTTTAAACCTGCAGATACCCTGTATGGATCATTTCATAAAGGTTCAGGCAGACATAATTTTATACATCTTTACACAAGTATGACATTTTGGCAAATGTTTACTAGCCTTTAGCCTGTCAGTCCCGCTAGGCATAAACTGTATTTCTCCCAATAGAAGCCATTCAGGAAGCTCTCTCCATTCAGGAGTGAAATAATAATGATTTTTACACATAGACAAGTAGATTTAACATTACGTGACATGTTCTTTTAGAAATGCAGCCAAAGGCGTGGTGTTGTTTGCGACAGACATCCAATAATCACAACTTTCCTTCAGCTTTCTCATTTGCAGCTATTCATGTGATTTATTTCTGGCATCACTCTCAGCATAGCAATTTCCAGATGCAGCTGACAGATGTTTGGACCAAAAACACCCAAAACCTTTACGCAGCGCAAACATCTGAGTTGCATTTATCAAGTGACTCACAAGATGACAGGTTTCAGAATGTGACACACTCCAGCGTGTTGTGTTTTCAGCTTGTTTGGCTGCCCTCGACAGTCCAGCTGACAACTGATTCAAGTGAATATTGTCACTTTGTGGCCGCTGGAGGGATTAAAAAAACATTCCTGCAAATGTCTTGTTTTGTTTTTTCCCAAAACTGTTTTTGTCAAGAGGACAAAAGCTTCTGAAACCAGATTCAAAGGCTTCGCGGCGTGATGAAACTCCTCACGGCGAGCCCGAATCATCAGAATCTTTCAGGCAGGTGTCGCCACATGTCTCACCGGCTCGGCACCTCTGAAGCTGCTGAGTAATACTCTGCTGAAGTGATTTCTCTGGTTCGATGTCTGATAGAAGAAACAACAATAATCTAAAAAAATACATTTGTTCCCTTCAATCAGAGCGTGTGCATCATCTCCCGCATCTTGTCTCATATTTGAGTTTTAATAAAAAGCGACATATTGCAAATCTGTTCTATCAGCTGATCTGGACGAGAGATTATCAACCGTTTTTATGATCCATGTGGATCAAAAGTAAACAAGACCTTCCACAGTATTTTCTTCTAATGCGTCCCTTTTTAGATTTTCTGTTTCCTTATTAAAAACATTAAGTTTTTAATATACAGCTCAATAATTTAAAGCTGATTTTGTTCTGCGTGGCATAAAAAAGCACTCTTCAGGCGTAATACAACTTTATTAAAAAATAAAATAACTGCTTGCCAAACACTTTACAATATTCAGAAGCAGTTTTACTTCTGAGATTAATTAAAAATGTTCCATTCCACATTGTTCCTGTAAAACTGGACACAGAATGTGGTTAGAAAGCCAAAACCAGGACGACGTAGAGCCTGGTCCAGACTCACAGTTTGGCCTCTGCTGCTGAATCTGTCCACTCTGTGTCCGTCTCTGTTGGCAGTCCAGGACCTGTGTGTGTGTGTGTGTGTGTGTGCGTGTGCGTGCGTGTGCGTGCGCGCGTGTGTGTGTGTGTGTGTGTGTGTGTGTGTGTGTGTGTGTGTGTGTGTGTGTACTGTACACATGTACCAGCTGTTAAATTGGTGTCACTAGCCCCCACTGGGAGCTAATCTGCTACCTTACAGCGATGTGTGTGTGTGTGTGTGTGTGTGTTTGTGTGTGTGTGTGTGTGTGTGTGTGTGTGTGTGTGTGTGTGTGTGCGTGAGCACTCGTTAACACTCTCAGCCTGTGGGTCTCTTGAAGCCTGGTGTGCCACTTGACAGCAGCCCCCCCCCCACCCCCTCATCGTCTCCCAGCACCACCACTGAGCACGTACGATACTTACATAAACAGCCCTAACAGTACAGTCACAAAGTGGACTTTTGACATGAAAGGCGTCACGCTGTTAGTTTCTGTTTTTATTTGGAAGTGAATCGCTACATTTAGGAGAAAGGCGACAGGAACGGCGTGTGTACATGGGAGAGCATCACCACTGATCTCTAATCCAGCTTTGGGGGATTTTACTTCCTGCTTCGCTGTCTCACCTCGGCACACAAATCATAGGCGTTCAGTACATGAAGGAATGAATCTTTACCACACTAAATACTCGAGCTCATCAAAATATACTGCACTATTGGTCCCATTGTCCATTGGCCTTTAGTATAAGCTAACATAATGTACCCCAGCTTTCCTCTGATGTGTTCATTATGATATATCAAATAAAAAAGTGTAATCTAGCATTCGAATGCAATTTATTTAATATCTGTGTCTGAAAACACAAGGAATGGTGTTATTTTTGTTTAGGTATGGATTACATGAGAGAGAACATTTATTAAATTGTTTAGATTAGCTTTCGTTAAGCATGAAATCCAAAAGTCACTTTTGTGCCTCCATGTGGGCCTCTACTAGCTCTATAAACATTGCAAATGTGAAAAAAATCTGTCCATCGGTTTCTGTCTGTGGTTTTTTAGGGGTGATGTGCCTAAAACAAGCCATTACAAAAAGTCCCTGTGTGTGACATCACAAGTTGGGAAATTTGCATTTAACCAGCTTTCACCTCCTTAGGCTGGAGGAGCAGAACCTCTACCTCGAGCCCCTTCTGGATATCGGAGCTTCTCAGCGCATAGTGGAAGATTGGTGGGCGTGGCCAGCTCCACCTTGTTTTCTTAATGTGTCAGACAGAGCCCTGAAACAACTCATTCTGGCAGGCACTGAAAATGTCAAGAATAAAACTGTAATAAAACTATTACAACTTAAGAAAAAAGTCATAAACATGTTGCCTTTAAACGAATAAAAGTAAAGTTTGTTTTTTCACAATATTAAACAGTTTTAAACTGGAAATGCTTCAGAATCACTATTAGCTCAAAATGTTAGCTTAGCTTCTAGTCTAGCTTCTATCTCCAGTGCCTTGAATCACAGACACAGCAAGTCATCGGGAGCAAAACCAATCAGAATGTCAGGATAGTATGGCATTTATCTTTGCTGTTCCCGAAAACTTGCTCCTAAAATGAATGTCACCTCAGGCAGCTAAATGTCAGTTTGTGCACTCACACCCGTTGGCTTTACCCTCGTCAAACCAATTTGAGCATCAGTCTTTCTCCCTGCGAGATAGTGCTCAGATTGGTGGAATTAAAGCGTGCAGCTCATTACCTGCCTCATTTATCATCCCTTGTCTCCGTCCCTTCCCTCTTTCCTTCTCTGCTCCAGCTAAACGAGTTGTTCAGGAAGTCGCCTTTGCGCAAAGACTTCATGGGGGTTCGCGTTAGTAAACTAGAGCCCAGCCGCTCCATCCAGGCTCTGGTGGAAGCCCACTTCAGACCAGGTGAGAAATCTCCCAGAAACATAAATATGAAATATGGAGACACAAAGGATGCCAATTTGTTTAAAACATTACTTACTTTTGATATGTCATCTGCAAGCTGCTGTTTTATGTGGAGAAAGATTAGGGGCACTGAAAAGAAAAATAGGAAAGAAAATTATGTCTCAGAATTTTGAATTCTGAGGAAAAAAAATCAGAATTCTTATTTGATCTCAGAATTCTGAGGTTCCAATCAGTCCTTTTTAAAGTCCTTTTTCCTTTTGTCTTTTCAGTGGCACTAATTCTCCTCCATATGTTTTGTTTTTCAAACTTTCACTCGTGCATGTTTTATTCCACTAACAAAATTTGCATGCAAATGTATGCAACTGCTCGTATTTCTGAAACAGCTTTGCATTTGCAAGTGAATTGTACCTGCACATAAACACACTGCACTGGTGCATAAGCAGCAGATGGCACCATGAGAGCAGCACGAGTTACTGTGGAATTGGGAGATTTGCACAACTTGCTTATATTTATGAAAGTGTCCTCAAACAGTTTTCATCATTTCCTGTCCTGTGGGTGTGTTTTGTTGCAGAGTATGCTTTATCTTTGCACTTTAACGAAGAACAAAGATGCTTTTTCAGCACCAAAAGCTAAAGTCACACAGGTTTCATGGAGGTTTTAAGTTGATCACTAAATAATTTGGCAGATGTGTCATAACTGGCTGTTTTATTTTCCTCCTGCACCCCACCAACCCAAAGCCTCCTCCGTCCGCCTTTCCTTTTTCTTTTTTTTTACTTTTACGAGCAACATTTAGCGTCCTTCACTCCCTTCGTGTGGGGCGACGGATGCTGTTACACGGCGTTCCTCCATGGCCTGTAAAGCAAACATCTGCGGTGAACATTATGAGAGCGATTCATCTGGAAAAAAGTCGGACAAGCACTGGTTGGAGGACAAGTGGTCCGTGGAGACCGTCCACCTGTCACGCCACAAGGCTGTTTGATGTATTCATTGTAGCATTAAAAGAGCTTGAGTCCTGTGTTTGCTCCAGAGTGCTCCTCAGAGGCCTTGTCCTGATTGGTGGCACCTTTTGTTTATTGTAGAGACGAGGTACACCGTGGAGGACATCGTGAGGGCCCTGCTGAGACAGTTAAAGGCTTCCAAAGACACCAGCATCTCCGTGAAGAAGCCGGAGGATGAGAATATCCGCTTCACTAATTATGGTAATATAATGTGGATTTAGCAGAAATGTGTAAGGATTTATTAAACGAAGGAGGGTTTTACTCTGAAGTTATTCATGAGGTGGTTTATCAAAAGTCTTCAATAGAAAATCTCAAAACTCAACATATTCAACTAATCTTCCTTATTTTTACATATTTTTCAGGCTTGTCCAGTACCGCCATCTTTACCACCACCATCACGACCACCCCTGCAGTTACCACCGCCGCCCCCATCACCACCACCAGGCTTCCCGCCACCTCCCCCTACATCACCCGTCGCCCACCAGGCACGAGCCACAGGCCCTTCCCCAGCAGACGCACCACCACCACGGCAGCGCCCGTCACCACGCCGCTCCCTACCACCACCGCATCCGTCGCCACGACAACGACACCGCAGACCACCACTTTCAGCAACATCCGTGGAAGACATCAGCACAAGAGCAAGAAGCCCTGCGACTCCCACCCCTGTCTCCACGGGGGAACCTGCGAGGACGACGGCAGTGACTTCAGCTGCAAGTGTCCCGCCGGGCGAGGCGGGGCGGTGTGTGAGAAGGGTGAGTCGTCATCATTTCTGCATGAAACAAGTTTGAAATCCCACCAAAGGCCAACGCTTACTGAGACTTCACAGCAGCTGAGAGGCTTTAAGGTGTTTTCGTTCTACAAATGATGCCTTTGAGTTGCTTTATAATCGCTGCAAACCGCAGCCTTAAGTGCTGTCATACATTATGAAAGCAGTCGAAACGCGACGCCAAAACAGAACCAGTTACTCCAGAAAGGCCTCGTCGAGTAGCGATTCAAGGTAAAGAACATAAATAATTAACCCACCATGTTTTAGTTCGTGAGAGTGCAAGGTGACACCTCCCGCGGCAGTGGGAGTGATGACTTTCAGTTAGCGCTGAATTATGTAAATGGAAGTTTAAGTGGTCACAGATGTGGATTTATGAGGCGATTTGAAGCTTAACAAATTAACAGCATTCAGAGCTGGAGGGAAAAAAATCGGTTTTATGTTCAATCTTTTCATTATTTAGGAAGTTTGACCGACTCGGGCGGTTGTCTTTCACTCGGCGGCACCTGAAACTCGTCTCCGCTTCTTCGGGTCGTTTTGGCGCTTCAGAAATGAGCCGTTCCACTCAGCTCTGCAGGGGGAACAAAGACAAAAGGAGAACTTCTTGACGAACGCGAGACTTCTGTTTCTTTAACCTACTTTGGGATTTCAGGGGAACAAGCAGCGACCTCACACAGCTGCATCGTCAGATAATTGACACTAATTGCTTTGATGGGGATTAGATGATGAGAATTACTCCAAGTGTTTGAGTCAGCGTGGTTAACTAAAATCACAAAAAGAAACACAAACACACACACACATGCACACACATGCACAAACACATGCACACACACATGCACACACACATGCACAAGCACATGCACACACATGCACACACACATGCACAAACACATGCACAACACATGCACACACACATGCACACACACACATGCACAACACATGCACAAACACATGCACACACACATGCACAACACATGCACACACACATGCACACACACACATGCACAACACATGCACAAACACATGCACACACATGCACACACACATGCACAAACACATGCACACACACATGCACAAACACATGCACACACACATGCACAACACATGCACACACACATGCACACACACACATGCACAACACATGCACACACACATGCACACACATGCACACACACATGCACAAACACATGCACACACACATGCACAACACATGCACAAACACATGCACACACACATGCACAACACATGCACAAACACATGCACAAACACATGCACACACACATGCACAGCCTCCCACGGATCAATCAAGTCGTTTAAAAACAGGGAGCTCATCAGCTGCCATTCTCCTCAGACAGATGGACAGAGGGGAAAAAACGAAGCCCGGGGAGAAAATCATAATGAGAATGATGTTTGTTGAGCAGCTATAAAGCAGAGTTCCACTGAAAACGTGTGTTTGCATGTAAAATTATGACCCCTAACACGAACGGATGCGCAGGCTTATTTTTATATTAGGAGGCAGTGACTCATCACAGCCACTCACGCCTAATTATGCACATTAAACTTGTGTTTCACTGAGATAAACCGAATCACATGTTAATGACGGGATTGGCTTGCTGTCTTCATTCCTCCGCAGTGATCAAGTACTTCATCCCTTCGTTCGGTGGTCAGTCCTACTTGGCCTTCCAGACGATGAGCGCGTACCACACGGTCCGCATCGCCATGGAGTTCCGGGCGTCCGAGATGACCGGCCTGCTGCTCTATAACGGTCAGATGAGAAAGAAGGACTTCATCTCTCTGGCGCTGGTCAACGGCAAGGTGGAGCTCAAGTGAGTGTTGGCTCCATTAAGAGGGGCGCCTGCCGGGGTATTTACGGACTCCGCCGCTCATGTCGGATTCAGTCTGAGTGGTTTCATCCTTCTAAACCATCCTTATCGCAAAGCGCGATGAAACATTAACGATCCCCACGAGGGATCGGGGTCATTGCAGCAGCAGCTGGGAGAGGGTGTAAATAGGAGCAAAACAAAGAGAGCTCAACATAATGAGGCAAATAATTACAGCAAGCAAACACAGAATAAAGAGATGGAGGCAGAAAGTCAGTCAGAAATATATTTAAACGTAAAGAACACAAGCATAAAAACGTTGAGTTTTAAGTCCCACGTCGAGGTCATTTACCTTTGGGACAGATATAGACGCAGACCTGCGAGGAGCAGATGCTGACTTTTGGTGACTTTTTTCTGTTAAACAGCAGCAGAACGTTAGAAAAGGTTCCCGTCTGGCTTTGGTAAAAGACTCAGACTTCACTTAGGGGGACTCAGTGGGCAGCGCGAGTTTGGGTAACAAGAACCAACAAGCATGGAGGCCATGACAGCGTTAACTCTATGAAAGCCATTTTTATTACTTTAACTGAGAAAAATCTTCATTTTTAAATATAATTATTCTGACTATAACAGAGATTTATAGATGCAATTATGAAGGGGAAACTTTAATAACTATAAATACCAAATAATTATTTACTGAGTTTCTGTTGATATGACTATCAACGTCATATTTATAAGAAATGAAGTTAACATTGTAAGATTTAATGTCATAATTACAGAAAGTAGGGTTATAAGATTGTTATATATGTCATAATAATAGTATATAACCTCAATATTATAAGATATAGTCAAAAATAAAGAATGTAAACTCATATTTATGAGATAAAGTACAAGTATATGATAAAAAGCCATAAGACATAATGTCATAATTATAAAATATAAATTCAGAATGATACAAATTCATAATTATATGATTTAAAGTTAGAATTATAGTTAAAAGTCATAATTGTAAGAAAAGCACATAAATACAAGACAAAAAAGGTATAATAAATTCATAACAGTAGATTTAAAGTTATAATTATATGAAGTCTTAAACTTTTGACACAAAGTCCTGATTGTGTATTTCATTTATTTTTTTGTCATTTTTTGGGATGTTCAGCCATGTTTTTTTTGAAAAAAAAAAATAAATAAATAAAAAAAACTTGTGTTTTATCCCAATTTTATCCAAAGCACTTTTCAAATGAGGATGTAAAACAGCAGCTGATCTCAAACCAAATTCTAAACTAAAGTCATCATTTTAACAAATAAAGCCACGATTATAGGATACAAAATCCTAATTATGAGTTTAAAGCTCCTCTTAGATAATAAAAGCTGTTATGCTACCTGGTTATTACCTTCCTGGCTAGCAAGCTGGTACTTTTTATACTCTATAAATACAATTTAATGAGTCAATGTGGGTGGGTGTGGATTTTGGCCACCAACAGAACAGAATATAATCTAATACTTAGCTTCTCTGGCCAGCATGCGTTTCCATATTTAGACTCAGACAAGAAATATTTTTAAAATGTCCAGCTTCAACTCATATTTGTATCTTTTAAAAACACAAAGTTTATTATTTGAAGTTAAACTAAATCAGGTTGAGGTATAAAATATGAAAAGTGCATTTAGTCTTATCTAGTTTCACATTTCAGCTGGAGCTGTCAGTAGCAAGAAGCCAATTTACTTGGCAGAGACCTGCTGAAACGCAAAGTGTTATAATAATGATGATAATAATACGCATTCATCTCTTCTCCTGTAGCAGAATTTTTATGAATAATGATTATTTTGGAAAAGCAGAGGCTTTGTGAAGAGACTAATTACAGATTCTGCACCATGTCTGGTTTGGAGGCATTGTTTCAAACACAATCTGCTTATCTTGGCTTTTGGATTCCAACCTGACCTCTCCAAGCTCTTTGCTAACCTGGCCAGGTTCGAGTTGTGTACTGAGGATGAAATCAATAGCAAACCGGAGGGGATCATTAGTCACTTGTGCTTTTCAAATAGGCTTCAATTCCAGAAATACAGCTGCAAGATTACCTCCCACAGCTTTGCAAATCCGAGACGTGGGGAGAAGAACTAATTATTTGTGGCAGATAATTGCTCTCAGGTTGTGCTAATGCTAGCGTATGTGTGGGTGCACGTACACGATAGCTCTATTCTGTGGTGATATCGCCTTTTTCTCCACAAAAACCCCATTAGATAAAAGGTATGAAAATCAGAGTGTGAAAATATTTTTCAAATGAGTAACTACTTCATTCCAGTCACGTAGTTGTTGTATCTTCTGTCTTCCATCTGTCTGTTGAGCAGGATGGGCACTTTTTTTTTCTTTTTAAACATTGCTTAATTAAAAAGGAGAAAAAAAACATGGATATGATGGAAAATGACTTGCGCAGATGGGGTTGTGCACTCGGATCGAAGAGCGTACGCAGCTGTCGGAGGATTTCCGGATCCAGTTGTAGGGTTTAGGAAATTGAGTGCTTTAAGAGCTCAATATATATATTTCACCTCTATTTATGACTGATAAGCTGTGATACTCTTATCTAAATATAGAATATCAACCCGGCTTGGTCTTTGTGTTTATCAGAAGATTCTAGTATTCTTTGTTTATTAGGGGATTGTAAACACTTCGTTTTGATTCAGAAAAGAGTCAGGTTTATAAAAGTAAGAATTTATTTGACCAACAATTAAAACATGACAAGTTTACTAATATTTATTGTGATGGATGGATAGATATGATGAATGAAACCTATGTGGGAATGTGGTGTTATCAGAACTTGCGTATCTAGGAGAGCTGAGTTCTGGATGTAAAAGAATTTGGGTTGCGCTAAGCTATGAAGCTGATTATTATCAAAACACATCAGACGCTATCTGTCGTGTCTACATACCCACTCGAAGACCCTCGTGATAGATCCGGAATGTCGAAGTCCTCGGACTTCCAGGCACCGAGGTCCGTAGAAGAAACTGCGGCCCCACTAAACCGGTATTAGAGTTGTCTCCAGGCCACAACGGATGGATGGGACCGCGCGTCTGGGACTCTTAAGGAGTCTAAACAATATCAGCTCGTTCTGCAGGAACTGTTGCTGTATCAGCTTCGCAGGTGCAAAAAGATTTTGACGACGTGTCAAAAGCTTTGATGGTTAAAGAGGGTTTTGCTTCAGCTGGCCGGTCCGAAGCTTTCTCTAGAACTGAGGAATCACCAGTTTTAATGTTCTCATGTTATGATTTGTGTAGCCAACCAAAGGTTGACAAGTTTGAGGAATATTACCAAGAATCTCAGAAACGCACGCCTTCTTTGATACCGGATGCTCTGATCAGGGCAAAGGACTATTTATGTGTCGCGAGTTTAACTTAACCTTACTTTGTCCTTGTGTGAGTGCAAATGGTGATGACCTTGCCATGTTAGCATGCTGAAACATATTTCAATCACTGTAATCATAACATTTCAATCTTCAATCATTGAGCACAGATTAATGAAGCATTTCATTTTACTATAATTATTATAAGTAGCAATAAACAAACGTTTATTTAATGATTATCTAGCTTATAAGTTGTAGAAGTTCATATCTGATTTAGGAAATCCAGACTGTTCCTTATATAGAGGCATGAAGAATCCTGAAAGATTGGACCTTGAGGAGAGAACATTATTGTTGACATTTCGTTATCTGTGTTCAGAGCTGCAGGCTCTGAGCTCCAGCTGGTGGGATGAAGGCAGACGCATTAAAGGGGACACATGCAGTCTTGTGTCTCCTTTTTGACCAGATGTTGAATGGTCAAACTGTACCTAAAAACTGATCATTGCTGGACGTTACACAGTTGACTTATTTAATCCACTCCACCAATCCTTCTTTTAGGTTTAACACCGGATCGGGCACAGGCACTTTGATCAGCAAAGTTCTAATCAATCAGGGACGCTGGCATCAGCTGGTAGTGACACGCAACCGGCGAAGTGCTGTGCTGAGCATCGACAACGAGCCGCACATTCAGGGCGAAAGCCCCCAGGGCACCGACGGCCTCAACCTCGACACGGAACTGTTCATCGGAGGCGTGACGGAGGAGCTGAAGCAGGAGTAAGACTTTGACTTTTCATTATTATCAAAGGCTTACAGGAGGTTTGATGTCCCGTGCTCTTCCTGGTCCTCAGCGTGAGGGAGCGAACCGGGGTCGCCGCGGGCCTGGTGGGCTGCATCCGCATGCTGGACGTCAACAACCGGATGCTCAACCTGCAGGAGAGCGGAGGCGACAGTCTGTTTGGCAGTGGAGTGGGTGAATGTGGGAACAACCCCTGCCAGCCCAACCCCTGCAAGAACGCCGCGGAATGCCAAGTCAAGGAGGCTGAGATGTTCCACTGCAAGTGCCGCCAAGGATTCTGGGGTAAGGCAGCGGCCCATCATACGTAGATTATCGATAGCCGTTAACCGTTCTGATGTAAGTCTTCTAATTGTGTTCCATTTCCTTTTAGCCACAAATAAATGTGGACACACTTTAGGGGGACGTAAAAACTGGACTCACCTCGAGTATGCACTTGTGCTCCTCCCCCTTTCACCTTTCATTCTTTAAAGAGATGGGGATTAGACATAACAGAGTAACCTGGATTAGACATAACAGAGTAAATGTGGATTAGACATAACAAAGTAACCTGGATTAGACATAACAGAGTAAATGTGGATTAGACATAACAAAGTAACATGGATTAGACATAACAGAGTAAATGTGGATTAGACATAACAAAGTAACCTGGATTAGACATAACAGAGTAAATGTGGATTAGACATAACAAAGTAACCTGGATTAGACATAACAGAGTAAATGTGGATTAGACATAACAAAGTAACCTGGATTAGACATAACAGAGTAAATGTGGATTAGACATAACAAAGTAACCTGGATTAGACATAACAGAGTAAATGTGGATTAGACATAACAAAGTAACCTGGATTAGACATTACAGAGTAAATGTGGATTAGACATAACAAAGTAACCTGGATTAGACATAACAGAGAAATGTGGATTAGACATAACAAAGTAACATGGATTAGACATTACAGAGTAAATGTGGATTAGACATAACAAAGTAACCTGGATTAGACATAACAGAGTAAATGTGGATTAGACATAACAAAGTAACATGGATTAGACATTACAGAGTAAATGTGGATTAGACATAACAAAGTAACCTGGATTAGACATTACAGAGTAAATGTGGATTAGACATAACAAAGTAACCTGGATTAGACATAACAGAGTAAATGTGGATTAGACATAACAAAGTAACATGGATTAGACATAACAGAGTAAATGTGGATTAGACATAACAAAGTAACCTGGATTAGACATAACAGAGTAAATGTGGATTAGACATAACAAAATAACATGGATTAGACATAACAGAGTAAATGTGGATTAGACATAACAAAGTAACCTGGATTAGACATTACAGAGTAAATGTGGATTAGACATAACAAAGTAACCTGGATTAGACATAACAGAGAAATGTGGATTAGACATAACAAAGTAACATGGATTAGACATTACAGAGTAAATGTGGATTAGACATAACAAAGTAACCTGGATTAGACATAACAGAGTAAATGTGGATTAGACATAACAAAGTAACATGGATTAGACATTACAGAGTAAATGTGGATTAGACATAACAAAGTAACCTGGATTAGACATTACAGAGTAAATGTGGATTAGACATAACAAAGTAACCTGGATTAGACATAACAGAGTAAATGTGGATTAGACATAACAAAGTAACATGGATTAGACATAACAGAGTAAATGTGGATTAGACATAACAAAGTAACCTGGATTAGACATTACAGAGTAAATGTGGATTAGACATAACAAAGTAACCTGGATTAGACATAACAGAGTAAATGTGGATTAGACATAACAAAGTAACATGGATTAGACATAACAGAGTAAATGTGGATTAGACATAACAAACTAACCTGGATTAGACATAACAGAGTAAATGTGGATTAGACATAACAAAGTAACATGGATTAGACATAACAGAGTAAATGTGGATTAGACATAACAAAGTAACCTGGATTAGACATTACAGAGTAAATGTGGATTAGACATAACAAAGTAACCTGGATTAGACATAACAGAGAAATGTGGATTAGACATAACAAAGTAACCTGGATTAGACATAACAGAGTAAATGTGGATTAGACATAACAAAGTAACATGGATTAGACATAACAGAGTAAATGTGGATTAGACATAACAAAGTAACCTGGATTAGACATTACAGAGTAAATGTGGATTAGACATAACAAAGTAACCTGGATTAGACATTACAGAGTAAATGTGGATTAGACATAACAAAGTAACCTGGATTAGACATAACAAAGTAACCTGGATTAGACATAACAGAGAAATGTGGATTGGACATAACAAAGGAACAAGGATTAGACATAACAGAGAAACGTGGATTAGACATTACTGAAGTGTAGTACAGCTGGGGGAAATTTAATTCATTGTCACATTTAAAGGCGTGTATTTCACTGGGCTGTGAATGCAAGTTCTAGGCTAAAATCTCACTTATGTGCACAACTCTTGCTACAGTGTGGTTCAATTGCACCTTTATTTGTTTTGATTTACTCCTCTTAATGTGGAGGAGCAGCGGATCTACTCTCAGCCCCTCACGGATGACTGAGCTTTTCACCTTATCTCTAAGGGGGAGCCCAGCCACACTGCGGAGAAAACTCATTTGGCCGCTTGTATCCCTAATCTCGTTATTCGGTCACTACCCAAAGCTCGTGACCATAGGTGAGGGTAGGAACGTAGATCGACCGGTAAATCAAGAGCTTCACCTTCTGGCTCAGCTCTCTTCACCACAACAGGCCGGTATAACACCCGCATCACTGAAGACGCAGCACCAATCCACCTGACGATCTCACGCTCCAGCTTTCCTTCACTTGTGAACAAGACCCCGAGATACTTAAACTCCTTCCTCTTCGGGCAGGACCTCATCCCTGACCAGGATAAAGCATTCTACCCTTTTCAAGAGAAGCCAGTTCAGGTGGCTCGGGTATTTGATTAGGATGCCTCCCTGGTGAGGTCCATCCGTGAGGAGACCTAAAGGAAGACCCAGGACACGTTTGAGGGAAGATGTCCCTCGGCTGGCCAGCGAATGACTTGGATCCCTCTGGAGGGGCTGGCCCAAGTAGCTGGGTAGAGGGAAGTCTGAACCTCTCGACTTAGGCTTCTGCCCCTGCGACGCAACTTCGGATAAGAGGAAGAAAATGGATGGATAAAACTTTTTTAATGTTGTTAATGTCCGTGGATGTCTTTCGAACCTGATCAGTGACATACTTCATTCGAAACAGTCTTGGTATTTTGACGTCTTAGCAAAGTCCCAAAAAAGCAGATTACGTATAACCTTCTCACCATCCCAGAAACTTCCCAGAACTCCCATTGTGGAAACGCGACTTTTCTGACACATGAAATCAGATTTGGATTGGTTCCAGCTAATTTTGCTACTCCGGCAGGAGAGATCGTTTGTTTCCTAAAACATTTTTCAAAATTCCAACAAAGTTCTGTGGCTCATGCAACGGAAACTGGGAGCACTTGAGAACTTGTGTGAAACTGCCTCGTGAATGCTGCTTGTAATGTTTTACCAACAATTGGCTAAACCAAATAGAAAAAGAGTTCACTCTCAAACAAAAGCAAGTCAGTTTAATTCATTTAAGATGGAGATCTAAGAAGAACCCGATTATTTTTCATGTTTAGTTGTTGAGAGGCTCAAGAGGAAAGACAAATAAATCTATTCCTAGGAAGGAAGCTGTGATGAGCTGCCTTGGCTAAATGAATTGTAAGAATGAGATTTGGCTCTTTGCCTGGGGACTCACTTTCAAGTTAATTTTATCATAATGTCACTTTAAAAGTGTCCGAATTTGGTTTTCTAGGAAGGAGAGGGGCAGTTCTCGGAAAGGGAGCAGAGCGGGAATACGTAATTGGGTAGGGTCGTAGTTAGGAGGGAGGACATGTCAGGACAGCCGGGTAAAGGAGGGAGGTGAGAGGACATCAGAGTTAAAGAAGAGTTAGATTTTTAAAAAGGGACATGATGGGGAAGAAATGAGAGCGGAGGATAAAAGTAGGAGCGAGGAAAACAGGGTAGGCCTGAGAGCTCAGCGGGGATGGGGTTCATTAACGCGCTCTCTTCACCACAGGCTCTTACAGCTGAAGTAATGACGGGTGAATTCAGAGGAGCTGTGACAGAGGGCAAACCCATCATCCAACAGATGCATGCAAGCTTTTCCCACCATCAGCCTTGGCCCAGAAACGTGGCGGGGAGACTCGCCGCTGTTTAATCTGGATCTGTAATATTTCCAAATCCTTTTAGAAAATGACCTCCATCACTGAGAGAATCCTGCTTTTCCTCCACCTGGCTGCGGTGAAATAGAGGAGGCGGTAATTGAAAGTGTTTTTCATAGTTTTCATCAGTGACTTTTTTCTTTTTGCGGGCGACGGTGGCACAGGAGTTAAGTGCTCGCCCCGTAATCAGAAGGTTGCAGGTTCGAGCCCCGCTCAGTCTGTCGCTGTCGTTGTGTCCTTGGGCAAGACACTTAACCCACATTGCCTGCTGGTGGTGGTCATAGGGACCGGTGGCGCCTGTGCTCGGCAGCCTCGCCTCTGTCAGTGCGCCCCAGGGCAGCTGTGGCTACATTGTAGCTCATCCCCACCAGTGTGTGAATGTGTGTGTGAATGGGTGAATGACTGATTGTGTTGTAAAGCACCTTGGGGGGTTCCAGGGCTCTAGAAGGCGCTATATCAAATACAGACCATTTACCATTTCTTTTTGACTGTCCAGGTCCAACGTGTGCTGACATCCATGACCCGTGTGTACCCAACAAGTGCCACGTGACTTCCCAGTGTAAGGCACTGCCTGAGGGAGGATACAAGTGCGAGTGTCCCATGGGACGGGAAGGAAGGCGCTGTGAGAGAGGTGATCAGACTTTTTACTCTCCTCTGTCTTCCATCCACCTTGTGTTGACACACAAGCAGAAATGCAGGGGTGTGTCCAGGGAGTGAGCTGGGGAAGCACATGCCACCCCTGGAATCTGATTGGCCCCCACTGGTGCCCCCCAACTGAGTTCCATTTACATTGTCCAAAAAAAGGCATGGGGTTACAAACCTTAAAAAAGTATGTAGTTCATTTTGGCTACAGAACATTTCTGTACTATAATTTTTCTTTTCTCTTTATTATTTATTGTTATTTTTCTTTATTATTTTCATATTGACGTAAAAAGTCATTGAAGTCCTGGTCGCAGAAATATGTATTTTCAAATGAAAGAAGTTCGTTTTAAGAAGATTAATGATGTTTATTTGTGCTTCGAATGTTTTAGAAGATTTCATGTGGACAGCAATGAATGTAAATTCATTCAAGCACAAACAGCCACCGGCGTGGTCGATGACTCAACAGTCACTGTCCCAATTCAACTATTATTTGCACACCTGTGTGTTACACACTCATAGCCTTACAGCATACTTCGTCCAGGTGCACTTGGCTGAAGACCACAGGGCGCAGTGCGAGTATTGGTATTGGGCCGAAGGAGGAGGAGGAGGAGGAGGTGGCCATGGCACAATGTGTAGCTCACAAATTCCCCAGAATGCAAAAAAATGTATGATTTCTTGAGGGGCGGTACACCCCCCTTCACACACACACACACACACACACACACACACACATACACACACATGCCATAGATGCCAGCCATGCGTGAAAAAGTGCCCCACCTGAGCCGCCCCGTTTTGAAAGGCCTAGACACGCCTCTGCAGACACGATCAGGGTGAAGCGTCTGATTGGGGACGATGGGAGAGTCGATGTTTTACCTAAACGCGACGTGTGATTGGCCCCGTTGGGCCGTTCTTCACATCAGCTCGTTAGTGGGGAGGCAGACTCTTCCTCCCTGCCTCTCCGCCCACAGGTGTTGTGTTCAAACTTATTTGTCGGTACTTTGTTTCTCCTGGCAGAACGGAGCTGGTAGCGAGGAAAAAGACCGTCAAACAGCCCGGATGCTTTTGAAGTTCATCATTAAAAGTTTTTGTCACATACCAAAGTCTTCTCTCCTTTTTTTTTTTGCCCTCCCTGCTTTTGTTGATGCCATTTCTGTAAGTCGAAGCTGATTTCTGCAGCTGCAAATGAAAGAGAATCGTCCGTCAGACGATTTCTAAACAGAAGACAAGACATGTATCTTTGACGCCCCTTTGGGATTTAGAAAAACCAGATGGGAGTAGCCTTCATCCAGGCCCAGAGTCTCAGTTAGCAGGTGATTAAAATAAATTGAGGTGAACAAAAATCGATGGCATGTGAGCGAGAGCGTCTCCCGTTCCAAAAGGCTATTTTTACCCAGGAATCAATGAGATGACTAATCGCATCAGTCCTCCCTGCCCGCGGTGATTAATGGCAGCATCAGTCAGCCGGAGTGTCGCTCCCAGACAGGAGCTCACAGATAAGAAGGCAGTCAGGCAGACGTCCACTCCCAGGACCACGCTCGGTACTGGTGCAAAGACAGGTTGCTTAGAGGCCGCTCATCAGGAGCCTGAAGGTGAGTGTAGTCATAATAATGAAGTGTTTGCATCTGAGCCCAGCCGAGAGGAGGTTTCCATTCCAATTCAGCCAGGGTTCGTCATTCTGTACGGCATTCAGTCAAGGGCCTTTCTCAAGGGTGTTCCAGTGGTACTGAATGGCTGACTTTCACCCTGCGATGATGTCAATCATTATAATTTACCAAGGAAAGCCGGGACGCTTGGAAAAATGATCTCTAAAGGGTCGTTTTAGGTTTAAACAATGTGTGTGTCACTCGCAAAACTCCTCAGGAGCTAATCAGTAGCACTGTCTTTTAACAAGGAGAATGTGCCTTTTTGTTGCTTTCTGATTGCTTTTTGTTGTTTAAAGGGGTTTGATGGGTTTTATTGCGAGTACTAACGACCTAGTCTTTCAGATTTAAAATAATTTAGCCCAGGGTTTATGGAACACCTCAGCTTTCCAAGGAACCCATCCAAAAGTGGGGTTTTCAGCTAAAGGTTGCTATTCAAAACTGGTACTTTTCTCAGTTGTGAGGCTCTGTGTCAAAACTCGCTGAACCTTTTTGACTCTTTGACCTCTGGTCTTGTATTGATTCTTGTATCAGTTTGAACAAACGGGCGAAAGAGAGGGAAACCACCCACTCCTCCGTGTGACAACCTCATCTCAGACAACAGTTCTGCTCCAGTAGAGCTTAGTCTGTGAGTGCAGGACTGTTTTTCCGTGCTTTTCCTTGGTGTGTGCCATCATCATTAGCAGATTTCTGCACAATAGCTAATTAGTTTTCCTCATCTCGGTCTTCCTTGTCTATCCTGACTCAACTGGGCTAATCCCAGCCACTTACAAATAGAGCTTTTCTTGCCTGTTTCGTAGGTATGTGCGTCAGCTTGTGTGTTTATGTGAGCGTTTGGCGGATCACATGGCCCTGAACGATGGCAGTTCCTGCTCTATAAACACATGCCCTGGGGTGACACTTGAATGATTTTTAATGTCAAGCCACTTGTTAGAAGATGGCACCGTGCCTGTCCTAATGACTCCAGACTTGCCAGGCAGAGGCACGTTGCAGCGACGTGAATTTGCAAAAAGGCCTGCCAAAGAACAATGGCTTCATTATTCCACAGGTCCCAGATGTGTGTTAAACTCTCCGTGTCTCCAAAGGTTCTTTGTCATCCGGTGGCGTACTGTGTAATCAGCCTGGCATAAGCAGTTCTGAATGTTTTTGGGGGGTTGGAATCTCTTTTGGATAAAAAAAAGTCGTAATCCTAAAGGCTGCACACACAAATCCATTTCTGACAGGTCCATTGAAGAAAAACAGACTATTGACAAAAACAGGACCTGAGCTTGATTCTTGTCTCTTTGTTTTTCTAGTGGCTCAGAGGAGGGGGGCTTACATGCCTCTCTTCAGCGGAGACTCGTACCTGGAGCTGAAGGGGCTTCATCTTTACGGGCATGATCTGCGGTACGTCCCGCCTCTCAGTGTTGTTGAACACTGAAAATCCTGTAATTAGACCTAGCTTGTTCGGTGCCTAGGGCAGAGTACAAACTTGGGCTTCTACTTTGAGCCTGAGCTGAATAGATAATGAGGGTTATGCTACTAATGCTATCACATGTTCAGTATAGCCTATTTCTGCACAGATACATTGCACCAAAGAAATGTGCAGCAGTATGTAAAATCTTGTAATGTAGGCTAGTCCCTTAGACAGCGTCTTCACTGTTTGTGTTTCATTTGCAGCCAAAAAATAAGCATGACCGTGGTTCTCATGGCCAACGACTCCAACGGTTTGATCTTCTACAACGGACAGAAATCAGATGGAAAGGGAGACTTCATCTCTCTATCGTTGAATAACGGGATCCTGGAGTTTCGATACGACCTGGGAAAGGGACCAGCTACCATCAGGTCTGCATGATTTTTACCATTCAGAAGGAAAACCATAAAGGCCAAACACAACTAGGGATGTAAATCACTAGTTTGATCACAAAGGCACTATACAAGCACAGACCATTTACAATACAATATTATACCGATACAGCGGACTGCAATGTTTGCCGATATCTAGAATTAAGTGACAATAACGTAATTATGACGTTAATGATGCCTCGGTGGATAATTTAAAATATTTTCTTCTAATAAGCACTAGAAAGTGGTAAAAGATGAGATAGATTTCTTTACCTGCCGACATTTTTGGCCTCTCACTTGAAGTCCTCTACACACGCTGTCCAGGGACGTGTAGAAGACTTCGAGTGAGAAGCTGTTGGCAGGTAAAGAAATCCATCTCCTTTTATCCACTTTCTTAGTGCTTATTAGAGCAAAATGTTTTATTACAGCAACAATACCATGTGGATTTGATTCAGTTTGGGATCCACCTATCATTATCAAATAATATCACAAGTGATTGAATGCAATAATTTCCCACTGCTCGCCATCACACTCATAGCTTCGTAGTTTACATGAACAGGTGGAAAACGGCATGTCAGCGGAACTTTAAAGGGGCATTATGGAAGTTTGACAGCCAAAACATGTATAGAAATAATAAATGTCTTCTTCATACATTCTCCTGCAATGCCCTGGTCCTGTAGAATGAGTCCTGGCATTTTTACTGTGATTGCCTGTTTTTCTGTAAAATCACAGAAAAAGAGAGATGCTCGGGTCGCGCAGGCTGCTTCATGCACGTTCACGCTCAGGCATAACCCGTAGCGTTTGCTATCCGTAGCTTTAGCAGCAGAGAGAGAGGTAGTGCCACTTTGTCGCTGTTCCTAACGCCTAGTGACAAAGCTAGCTACATTTCTGAGGACCCTTAGCTACTTTCTGTAGAACTTTCTTCTAGATATTTCCTGCAAATTAGCAACAAAATAGCCATTTTCGCTCCGAACTGTTCTTTGGTTTGACGTTGTTTCAGCTGTCATCAACGATATAAAAGTTACAGACACTGTGAATGTTACTTGGGTGTAGCTCACCTTGTAAGATGTCTGACTCCCATGCAGAAGACCTGGGTTTGATTCTGGGTGTGAACATAGTTTATTTAGAGTTTATTTTTTACATTAATGGTATTTTTTTACAGTAAGATGGCCATATATTTATTTGAGACTCGCCGAACGGCATTGAATTCACAGATAAAAAAGATGTGGGTTCAACTTTCATTTTGGAACAATTTTCCAAGCAAGGGAAGGGAATGATCTGAGCATGCAGGAGGACTGACCCATCTTAAACCTTTGTCGGCTGTGCTGAAGAGAAAGGTACAGAACCAAATTATGTAATTAATTAGCTGCATGTTCTCCTGTCCTCTGTCCTCTGGGCCACACACACACACACACACGGGACTGTCTCAGCTGTTATTTTCGTTAAGGAGTGTGCACGTACAGCATGCACACCTCGTGCACGAGCCTACTATTGAAGCTGCCGTTACGCTTTTGGCCTGAGGGGGCAATCGCGAGCATAAAAATTCAAAAGTCCGTAAAGTCCCTTTAAATAAAGCAACTGTGTATTATTGATGCATAAATGTTGACGGTGTATAATCCATGTAGATCATCGTTGGCCATGTTATTGATGTCAATGATGACCACGTTTAATCGATGTCTCGATGTAGATTGATGTGTTGTTACAGTCCTATACACAACACACCAATGGTAGGGTGATTTTGTTTCTCCTAACGTGTGGATGTTGTTGTGATTCAGGAGTAAGGAACCCATCCAGCTGAGGGTGTGGAACACCATCAACCTGGAGCGCTCCCTTCGCAAAGGAGAGATCATGGTTAACAAGAAGGACCCCGTCCGAGGAGAATCACCTGTGAGGAACATCAGTCTCTCAACCACCTGCCAGTGGTCATCTGGCTTTCAGCATGCAACGCGCCCGGGCTTAGCTTTGCTTCTGTATTCTTGCATCCGTGCTTATGTCCCATCAGTGCCAAATCTATCGCGGCAATTTTCCTAGTTTCTGCTTCAGACTCCTAGAAACTGTAAGTTTTCCTCCTTGGCAGTGGTTTCACACCGTGTGGTTCCACAGGCATGCTTGACAGGAAATATGTCGCTCTCTCCCGACATCCATTAAGGTAAAAGCTAGAGCTTCAGATGAAGAGGGCCAGTTTGACAAGCAGTCTCAATCCTGTTGTTCAATTTTTTTTCTAACTAGAGGCTTTCAACCTGCCCACTTCTTAGAGATGACACTTGTATAAGAGAATCAGAAGTGGCCATTCCTGCGGGCATCCAGTGAGATGTTTAAAATTCCACCTTTGCAGTGCAGCGGTGTCTCGGGAGGAGGAAGCAGATAAGGGAGATATCAGCAACATGATGAGTGTAATGACTATTTTTGAGTCCAGCATCTAGACCAATAGAGCAGGTTGAAGCTTCCAAACGAGGGTGATCTGATCGTTTAATAAGTCTGCAAGTCATCCAATTATATTAAACCGTGTAAACGGTGATTGTGAACAAGCAGTCTGCCAGCTCCATCATCTTCCACATTTAGAAAGACAAGTCTTTCCCCTCCCCCCACTGCGTCTCATCATCGGTGTGGTAATTGTTTTTTTTAACTGCAGCAGAAGAGGCGGAAAATCTTATTAAAATGCGAGAGTAAAGAAAAAAATGCAAAGATGTGTTAGCGGGAGGGGCAGGGACACAAGGGATGAGCAGAGACTGGTTATGGAGCTCAGTACAGAGACCCTATAGAGACTTCAGCTTTACACACACACACACACACACACACACACACACACACACACACACACACACACACACACACACACACACACACACACGAACAGTTTGCTTTTCTGTGAGTAATCATCATATCAAAGAGCGCTCAGGCTGCCATAGATGGAAATACAAACTTTCAAAGGTACAAAGAGGAGAAATAAGAATCTACTTCAGCTTTTATTTAATGACAGCAGTCGGTAAATGAGCTTGGGTTAAGTGGCACTATTCACAGTCTATCCTCCATGATGTTTCTGTCTTTTCATCTTGTCCTAGTGGCACCATCTGCCTCATGCATGGACGTCTTAGACTCACTGTATTATTTGCATTCACTCTGGCACAGCTGCTTGATTGTATGTGTACAGTTTATCACACAAAGTGCATCCCTAACGTTTCTTCTGCTCTCATTTTATGTTCCTGTGTGACTTTGCTACACTACGGCTATTTTAAATCCTCCAACAGCTATGTGTGCTTTTGAGATAATTGTTGAATAATCAGTATTTTGTCTTGCCTAGCTCTGCATGCTTTTATGTGCACAGACACAAACTAGTCTTCCCCTAATAACTCTCTTCCTCCTTATTTTCTTTCCTTCTCTATGATGTGCTGTCTGGAAATAAGAAATCACGCAAGGTAATGAGACAAGTCCCAGTCGCACTGTGGCCCGCGTTTGGTTTCAGTCGTTCACCGCGTCCTCTCACCTCCATCTCTCCATGCAGCAACAGCACAGAAGGACAAACCTGCTTGTGCAGATTTGCAGGCGGCTTTGGAAGGGCCAGCTCTTGGGGGGGGGGGGGGGGGGGGGGGTGCCGTTTCATAAACTCATACGTCCACACACGGCATGGAAGAAATGGTCTTGAAGAGCACGGTTTGGCTTTCACCTTGGTCCATCTGCTGCGGGGGTGGGGAGGGGGTTGGGAGGTGGGAGGGAAAGAGAAAAAGAGGTAGTGATCCTTGAGATGGCCATTGTTTTATGCAACAAAGAGACATCTTCATCAGTCTAGCGTAGGCGGGGATATCACACCGGTTGGAAAGTGAGAGTGAGGAAGATATCCACCGCAGGAGATGGCGAGGTGCTAACTAAGCCAAGCCGGGCTGTTCTTTTGTCATCTGTTTACACTTTTTTCACACACTGGAACAATTCCCCGTAGTATCATGGCGTTAGTTTCACCCACTCACTTACTTACCCCAGTAACAACACAACACTACTCACCACACATCACCGAGCAGGAATCCCTCCGTACAGCCAACACCTGCAGAGCTGCAACTGTTTGGAGACGTGAAACTGCCAAAGACCGTTTGGATCACTCTGTGGGCTTACGTGCAGCAAGTCTGACAAACGGGACTTGCACGTAAACACCTTAGTCTGATTAAAGTTGAATCAAACTAGCCAACTCCCTATTGAGCTATCATCCCAGATAAAAATAAATAAAAACAAACCTTCTCTGCATGTAAATGACATCCCAGCTTAGCCGAGCAATGGCCGGCCTGGGCCCCCCTCCAGGAAGGGAAGAGACCGTGGACTTGGTCTGCTGATAATATCGTCAACATAAGAATGCGTGAATCGGACATGTAACACAGTCAATTAGTACAGGAAGTACCAAATGTACTGTTGCCCAAGCTCTTGTGCTTATCCTGGTTTTACCCCTTCTGTTTCCCTCCTCCCAATGTTTTTTTTATTTGTATTGCTATAGGCCAACCAGACAAATGCAATCTCGCAGGACGAATGTCACCACCGACAGCCGCATAGTCGAACGCACTTCATGCACTATTTTGTTTTCTAATGGACGTAAGCTAGGTTAAGGCTTTAGCTCGATCATTGCCATACCTCCACTTAGATGCAACTTTTGTTTTAAGTCACTTAAATGCAAAGTTTGTCATTTCAAGCAACTTTTTTTTTGTTGCAAATGAGTCCCAAAGTCGTCCCATTTCTGACTCATAGAAACTAAACGGAGAAGGTTCCAGATGCCTGCAACTAGGCTAGCAAGGCCTTCCGAACCCTTGTGATTGTTTTGAGACGATTAGGAAACTTGTCCAGAATTTGTCTCCAACACTTGCAGCCCAGTAGGATACTGGTTTTAATGTTTTATTTATCCAAAGTGACCTACAAAGCAGGTATTTAAGTAACAGGGAACAAAATGCACGACTGCAGAAAAGTGGCTTTACACAATGTCTCAGCAGCGTTCAGAGCTAGAAGCTCTTGAACATCATGAACATGCCAGCAGCAGATTCAGGTTGCACCTGCGACTCCACCTGCCAAACGGCTAAATGTTTAAATATCTGAGCCTGAGGTGTGTCCTACATTTGGTGGCAACTTTTGGCTAAGCCTGGAGGTACCAGCCACAACCGGGCCTAGCAGCTTTGGCCAAGGTCTCTGCTGGAAGAAGCTCAAGGTGCATCAACAAATTCCCCCAAGCTGCCGCCTGCTCTCCAAACCCTCCTAAACCCAAGCTGAGCCGACTTTTGCTTGCCTGTTTATTCGTCCCCTTCCATGTTGTCTTTTTTTTCTTTTTCTTCTTTTTTACCAATTAACTCAGTTTTACCCCTCCGGCAATCACTGCCCTACATAAAATAAAGATGGCTAATTTCCTCCTGAAGTGGACAGACTCTCCACGGAAGCATCACCTTTGTTGATGCGAAGCAGTCGTCCTGAATGTTTGGTTGAAAGAATTGAAATTCATAGCTATCGGACGCACAAATGAATAGCAATTAATTTGTCTTCACACTCATCAGCTTGAAAGGTCGCTGCTTATAACCAGCTATTTATTAGAAAAGGTGTGTAAGGACCTATCCATGACTCCAGTCTGGCCGGCTCTTGGTTGGCTTTTGTGGTCCTTTTTTTATCTCACAGCGGATAATTGATCGCTCTCTGGGAGACAGAGAAGTCACTTATTTTGTAATGTATCAAGTGTATTAACATTGATTGAGGGCGAGGAAGTCCTTTAACTCCCAGCTGCATTTTGCTGTTTGAAAATCCTTTCCAGGAAACCTTAAGTGAAAAGTAAAAACTTTCCTTTGGTTTCTAGGATTAAAAACCAAGTTTTTCTTAAAGGGGCATTATGTAAGAATTCTAAAAGTGAAACAATCACAAAACGGTTTAATTTCTCAATCGGACTGAAAAGAAGGTTACACTGAAACAGATTTAATTCTCCGCCGGCTAGTGGGTTTTCAGTTTTTCACCTTAAAAACACCAAAGAGGGATGTAGTTTCTGTTTACCCTCTGGGGGGTTGTGAGGTTTCCGTGCTAACACTGCAGCGCCGGCATTTTTAATTAGATACCAGCAGACAAAAAGCTCCAGAGTTGTTTAAAGAGCCAAAGCCAGTAAACCAGAGCGACCCAGAAGTTATAATAAGCCACAGCTTCTTTTTGTTTTTCTAAACATCGGATGAAGCCTGCTAGAGGCTAACATTAAGTTAACAATGCTAACAGTAAATTAGAAGCAAATAGTCCGCCCTAGAAATATATCCAGCTACTTTTTAAATGACCTTTAACTGGTTGTTACAGTGAAATGTGTGTGTGGAGTGAAAAATGAGTCAACTGTGGCGTCTTACTTCCTTTAATGAGTCGTTCAGAACTATAACAGCAAGGCAGCAATTGACACTCCAACGCTGGAGACAAACTACCGTAATAAGTGTAGTAAGTGCTCCCTGCTTCTACTACTACAACTAAAACACCAGATATAACAATTTGTGTACTTAATAACTTACAGTGTATGGCTCGTCTTCACTTCCAGCATCGTCAGGCTCTGAACTGTAACAGCCATGAACCTGAAGTGTGATAGTCAGTTTTTGTTTAGAAAAATGGCTGCCGTACCCAAATTTGACCACAATCTTACTTCATTCTTACATAATGCACCTTTAAGTGAAAGGTTAAAACTTTCCTTTGGCCTTTTGGATTAAAAAATAAAGTTTTTCTCAACTGCGTTTTCACTTGAATAGAAATCTCTTGTCTGGATGTATATATTTTTTGAAGAGGCATGGTTTTTTTTCCGGATTGCATAGCTCTGCCTCTAAAACTTTATTTTCATCTCTTTTCTCATCAGAACAAACACACGGATCTCAACTTGAAAGAGTCTCTTTTTGTCGGCGGCGCTCCCGACTACAGCAAACTTGCGAGAGTCGCGGCACTCACAGAGGGATTCAAGGGAACGATCCAGAAGGTAAAAGGCTCACACGCAGCTCTTTACAACCGAGCATTTTAATATTAGTTCAGCTGGTGACTCCTGTGTTGTGTTAATGACTCGGGACTCTTGAGCCTTCCCGCAGAAAAGTCAAACGATGCTGGCAATTTTCCATCAGAAGCTCCCACTGTGACGAGAAGTGGCTCTGCTCATTTGGATTAGCTCTCACTAATTTTAGTTTGCATATTTTGAAGTCCTTCTATTTTGCTTTCTTCAGATGTTTCCCAGACAGCCTTGCAGTTTTTTCTCCCCTCTGCTTTCTAGCAACAGCTCATCCCTGAGTGCCCAAAATAACTGTAGAACAAAGGCTGGATGTCTGTGTTTGCACAAACGTGTCACTGGTTGTCTTCTGCAAACTTTCCCTCGACAGTTTCAAACCAGCTAAATGTGGCGTTTGTCGTCCTTGGCCTCTGGAGAACAGTTAATTATGTGGAAGACAGTTTGTGTTTGCATCTCGACGTCCTGTTCAGCTCGTGTGTTGCTTCAACACCCTGCTGTCTGAGGACCTGTTAAGGTGTTAATCCAGATTTACAGCCTCACTGTAACACTATTTGTTCTTAGGGTGAGTTCAATAATTAAATTTAATGACCCTTCAGCAGAAAACTCAATGCCTTTTCCCCCTGGATGCATTTCGTTTGAATACAAATCAAAAGTTACAGCGAGAGATGAATCTAATCTGAAACTTTTAACAATGGAACCAAAAAACTGAGGATTTGAAAGAACAGATCTATGATGTGAAGGAATTTCTCCAAGCTAAATACTATAAAAGTTGTGTTTTTTATTAATAGAAGAGCCTTTCTGGTTTGATGATATTGTTTTCATTCAGAAGTTTGCAGGAATAACTTTGAGACGGAGCTTCTGTAGCCAGACTCGAGTAAGCTGCCAGTATGCAACCTCCTCCTAACCCCTGGAGTCTCCTGCAGGGAGTCTGACTATATTTATCCCACTATCACCCACTATCTTCTAAAGTCTCAAAAGTTTCCAACCATGCCACCTAGGAGGCTGACTAGATCTTACCTTCTGCAGCAACAGATGCAGCCAGCCTGCAGTTTTGAGACTTTAGAACAGTTTTGGACAACTGGGGCTAATTTAAGCACGTTTACCTGTTCTAGATCCCACCCTAAAAAGGCAAGGCTGCTTTATTTGTATAGCACATTTCATTCAATGTGTTTTCCATCAGCGAGAATAGCATTCACTTTAAAGGGACGTTATGGAAGTTTGACAGCCAAAGCATGTATAGAAATAATAAATGTCTTCTTCATACATTCTCCTGCAATGCCCTGGTCCTGTAGAATGAGCCCTGGCATTTTTACTGTGATTGCCTGTTTTTCTGTAAAATCACAGAAAAAGAGAGATGCTCGGGTCGAGCAGGCTGCTTCATGCGCGTTCACGCTCAGGCATCGCCCGTAGCATTTGCTATCCGTAGATTTAGCAGCAGAGAGAGAGGTAGTGCCACTTTGTCGCTGTTCCTAACGCCTAGTGACAAAGCTAGCTACATTTCTGAGGACCCTTAGCTGCTTTTATTCTAGATATTCCTGCGAAGTTCTTTGAACGTTGTTTCAGCTGTCATCAACGATATAAATGTTACAGATACCAAAGATGTCACTGGCGCTTTAGCTCACCTAGTAAGACGTCGGACTCTCGTGCAGAAGATCTGGGTTTGATTCTGGATGTGAACATAGTTTATTTAGAGTTTCTGTTTTACATTAATGGTATATTTTTTTACAGTAAGATGCCCAAATTTTTATTTGAGACTCGCCGAACGGCATTGAATTCACAGATAAAAAAGATGTGGGTTCAACTTTCATTTTGGAACAATTTTTCAAGCAAGGGAAGGGAATGTTCTGAGCATGCAGGAGGACTGACCCATCTTAAACACACACACATACACACACGCTCACACAAACACACACACACACACACACACACACACACACACACACACACGGGACTGTCTCAGCTGTTATTTTCGTTAAGGAGTGTGCACGTACAGCATGCGCGCCTCGTGCACGAGCCTACTATTGAGGCTGCCGTTACGCTTTTGGCCTGAGGGGGCAATCGCGAGCATAAAAATTCAAAAGTCCGTAAAGTCCCTTTAAAATCTACGTGACAGCACAATTAAAATGTGCGCATTAATTTCAGATCTAAGAGTCAGAACTAAAGGTAAAAGATGAGCAGTTACAGCGCAGAAGGTGCAGCATGAGATGAAAAGTTACTAGAGATGTCTCTGCTTCTGAAACCCAGCAGACTGCATGGAGGCACTGACTTGTGTCAGAGACTTTACAGCAAGCATGTAGTGACAGTGGAGAGGAAAACTCCCCTATGGAGCAGCTGTAACAGTTAATGCAGCATTACTTAATAAACCTTTACACTGTTGTAAATGTGACATGAAATGTTTATTCTGGAGTAATTAAGGATTTCCTGTTGGATTTGACTCGAGGGTCCACTGAAAGGGCAACATTTGGCCATTCCTGGTGCTATTTATAATCAAACTAGTAAATAAAACAGAAGACATCTTTGACACCTTCCCTGTCCTCTCCAGATCATGCTGATGAGCACCCCCATCCTCCGGGAGGAGAACGCCTTGAACTCCAGCAACGTGGCCATGTTCCAGGGCCACCCGTGTTCCCGTGAACCCTGCCAGAACGGCGGCCGCTGCACCCCTCAGCTGGACAGCTACGAGTGCGGCTGTCTGCCTGGTTTCTCAGGGGAAAACTGCCAGAACAGTGAGTGTTGTTGCTGTCCCAACATCACACTTCTGCTCCTGCTGAGCAAAAACAATGCAGCAGGTCTCAGTGTGTCATAACTTCTAAAGATTTCTGTTTTCTTTTTCATTTCTTCTCCTGAGTCCGCGGCTAACGGTGATTGCTGGGTTTAGACACCTTATCGTGTCAGTCGATCGTTACAACAACACAAATTGTTCCATTTCCTCATCCGGGATTATCTGGTTTTGCTTTAAAAGGATACTTAAGGTTTTGGCTGCTTTTAAAGTGGGATTGAAATCAGCAATGCTTCATGTGGCACAGCTTCATCCTGGCTCGCCTGTGCGACAGGTAAAAAATGAGGCCGAGTGCGTGAGACGACTTCTACTGTTCTCCCTGTCTTAACTCGATACCGGCGTTACACAAGCGGTTGCGTTCTTGTATCAGCTGTTTTCAGAGGACCTGAACACGTCGGCTGAATATGCATAAAAGGATTGCATGTCCCTTTCATCACCTCCGTGTTGCCCTGCTAGACGTAGACTTGATCTGTCCTCAAGTCAGGGCTGTAGCCATTAACCTTGTGTGTGTGGTCGGTCGTCCCTTTCACGTTAATTACCCCCCCCCCCCCCCCCCCTCCCGTTCCTCCTCTGTGACCCTTCCGCCTGCAGCTCTGGTAGCTGAACCTTTACTGTTATTGATTGGAGTGATCTCATCCACTGACTCATCTTCATCGTCCACCCCACAGCCATCCACGAGAAGTCCGCCGGAGAGACGGAGGCCATCGCCTTTGATGGACGGACTTTCATCGAGTACCACAACACCGTTACGAGGAGGTAAGGAAGACGGGTCGTCATCTTTTTTCCTGGCTGTTATAGCTATTAGCCATATAAGCCCTCTTGTCTATCCATCTCCTCCCTTGGTAAGCTGTGATAGCCGTGTTGATGGTATCATCAGTGGTAGGGCTGCAGGGAGAACTCCGCTAATAGCTCACCCTCCCTGTCTTTAGCTGTTCTGCTTTGCTTTTGACAGAATTTCACTAATTAGCAAGACAGTTAGCAATCACAGTCTCGCCCTGAGCGCTCTTCATTCATTTGGAGGTCTGCTAACACCGGACACACACTCCATTCTTTTCCTCTTTGAACCTCTGGATAACTACGTTTTAACCAACAGGGTATGAGGATTTCTTAGCTGCTGTTTTGAGCCCCCCAAGCATCGCAGAATGAAATAAACTAAAATCTGAAAATGATTTTGTAACAAAAACAAAAACAACCTCGAGAAACCGTCTCCCTATAGGCAGCAGATGAGACATTTTTTACTTTCTTCCATCCATCTGCAAGCTTGGCAAGAGTGTGCCTTCAGGTTTGCATAAACAAAAAAAAATGTTTGTGAGGGACCTGAAAAAGGCATCGAGCATATGGCTCTGTATCTCACAGCTCCTCACACAAACACTCGGAGGTGTGAAAACTGGGCCACAGCCTGCAGATCGTCACGCTCCCGACTCGCGCCCACTTTCAAACAACTGGCAGGGGATTTCCGTGTGTCTCAATGTCTTCTGTCTGTCTGACCTCCCATGTCCTTGTCCACTCTTTGTCTGCGTCTCATTTAAATGTCCTTCACTGTCTTTCCTTTTCACTCAAGCCAACTGACCAATGAGATCCCAGAGTAAGTACTTACAGGACTGGGTGTTTGCCCAGTGTCCAACCAAAGCCAACTAACTTCTAACAAAAGACTCATTTTTGATAGTTAACCCGGTTAAACGAGTCTTTTTTTTACACAGAAATCATCTTTTCCTGTTAGACAGTCAGTTTTCATGCAAGCTCCAGAAGCATCATTTCATTTGACAGATTTCATTCATTTTTTTGGATCCATTCAACATTCAGTCATTTTGTTCAAAGCAAAAGGAAGCATGAATGTGTGCATGATCAGCATTGTGCTCACCCAAAGAGAATGACTTGCAGTTCGAAGAATGAGCAATAATTTATGCATGGTTGTAACTCATTTATAAACAAAATGAATTGCCACGCTCTTTACGCTGAATAGAATTAGAGAAAGATTTGTATGTATTTTGCTTTTTTTCTGGGAAATGGATAAAACTCATGGAAAACTGCAGGAGAAGGAAGTGCTACATGCCTTGTAACCCGGTTTCTGTTGCGAATGGAGTCTATGCTCAGGGTTTTCCAAGGGTGCTTATGGAGATCTTTTTTAATCAGAATCTGAATCAGAAAAAGCTTTATTGCCAGCGCTCCAGCGACCCAGAGCATAGGAACTCGACTCCGCAGCACAGCCTGACCAAGGTTACACACACACATGTAGTCAGAACAGATACAGGCAGACCACGAGAGCAGCCATAACGCCGCTCATTTCAATTAGATGAAAAGGGGATTACATGAGGATAAATTGGGGGAGGGGAAAAAACGCATACCAGAGTTACTCCCGGCAGGGCGTAGCTTTACTATGCAAAAAAACACCTTAAACATATAAGCACGAACATCAACCGTTCACAACATGAGACACCGAGAGGAAGGCGGGGGGGTAGGTCGGGTTTTCACAGCATCTGTCTGCATTCCTTCGTGGGGGTTTGTTGTTGGCATTCACAAGGCTGCCATGGCGTCAGATTCGGATAACAAGACTTTGTTTGGGTCAGGCAGAGATAATTTCCCTCTCTGCCTTGAAGTCTGTAACTGATCATTCAAGTCCTCCAGTGAAGCCAATTCAGGTTTTAAACATCTCCACACCGTCCAGTGACCCTCTCCGAGATGACATCCATTTTGCGCCCTAATACCGGTATCGCAGCTAGAACATTGTCCAGCTTACGATTCACCTCGAGTAACGTCCCAGTCTGTAAGGTCCTCACGTGGACGGTGCTTTCCGTGGGTGCGGGTCGCCCTCCAATCGCTCCCGTCTTCCCAAATTTCTAGAAAACCAGATATCCTCCCACTCCAATCAGGAGAAATCCAGTGATCATCAGGCCAAACATCCACACATCTTCAACGTCCTCAATGGACAACTGGGAGAGGCATACGATCCTCCATTCTTTCCAGGAATCGAGCATATACCCCACCGGGTGTGTCCCTTGCGGGCAAGTGGGAGCCCCCTGCTCCGTTCTCATCATTGAAAAAATCTTATCAGTCACGTTGAATGACCAATTAATTAAATCCATTTCTAAAAAATAGGGTTTTTCAGGAGAAGTGCGGAGAGGCGCTCTGTGGGCAGACAGGACAAAGAGCCTTGGGAAAAAATGATAAGGGAGCAAAAAGGGAAGCGTCTGTACTCTGCGAGTGCCATAAGAGAAAGTGTAATATGTAAGAATGGAGTAAAAAAGACTCCTTGTGGTCATATTTAGGTACTGCAGCCCATTTTCAAAACACACAAGTGACTTTTCTCACTACCGTTCCGTGAGTTTCGTGGCTGTTGCTAGTTACGGATCAGCGCCAGACGATTCTGGATGACAAGCAAAGACGAGTCATACACAGAAAGTTGATGAGTAGATAATGTCATATCTGGTGTTGGCACTCTTGATTTTTTTTATGGTAGGGATCACTTGCTACACTTATTATGGTAATATCTCATTAGAAGAAGTGTTGTTTTTTGCCGTCTTGCTGTTAACATACTGTTTTGTTCTGAACGACTCATTAAAGGAAGGAAAATGCCAGACGCCTTATTATTCCCTTCACACATATATTTCACTGTAATATCGAGTTTTTGGTAATTGAAAATGGTGCTTGAGATAGTTTGAGTCGACTATTTGCTTGTAACTCACCATTAGCTTTGCTAGCTTGACGTTAGCCTCTAGCCTGCTTCACGCAATATTAAAGTAAAACAAAAAGATATCGAGGCATCTTAGGAGTTAAAGAAATAACTTCTGGGTCGCTCCTGTTACTGGCTTAGGATCTTTCCAAAACGCTGCTGAATTTTGTCTGCCAGTGTTGAATTACAAATGCCGGTGCTGCTGCATTAGGTGGCGTGAACTCGGCAACCTCACAGGTTCATTGATTGTAAACAGTAACCACGTCCATCTTTGGGTTTTTTTAAAGAAGAAAAACTGACAACCCTCCAGGTAGCTGAGAAGGAAATCTGTTTCAATGCAACCTTCCTTCCAACACGGTTGAGACTGTTTAGTGATTATTTCACTACAGAATTTTTACATGTTGTACCTTTAAAAATAAAAAAAAGTCCCACCAAGCACTGAAGCCGAAGTCGGCTCTAATTAATCAGACTGGATTCCGTCCAGAGTTCCAAGCCACCCCAGAGTTTCTGTTGTTTCTTTTTTGCCAGATACCTAACAGTAATTTTGAATAATTGCACAGCCGGCTGTTCTGAATGGCTGTGACATGTTAATCACAGATTTATCTCCCTTTGTAGATCAGACCTCCAGTTGAGATCTCTCCACAGTGGGCAGCCGTGGGCATCAATCTCACTTAGCAGGAGGGACAGTAGTCCTTGGAGCCACACTGTCAAAACTTTAATAGATGTCAAAGTCACTAAGAGCCATGGTGGGCGGGAACCTAGACAAACCTTGTGTCAGCACCGATCAATTCCACATGATTTGATTGCGTATAGATAATGAACACGTTTCTCAGAGGCCATTAAGTGCATTGAAAGGGCCGGTGTGCACGCTGCTGTTAGTATTTACGGCCGTCTGCGATCACCTCTCCGGCCGCATCACCGAGCTCAGGTCGATTTGCTCCAGCCCCATAACATCAGTGACAAATCATAGCTGCCATGACTCATCTGATACTGCACTTGACCCGGTTTTTTAAACAATTGCCCAGTTTTTCCTCTTCCTCCACCTCCTCCTGTAGACAGCAGGTAATCGCTGCAGCGCTGTAGAGTGCAGCGTAATAATTATAAAGGAGCCATTCGGTAATTATGATAGGGATAATCAGGATTCTGATTGGTGCGGACACCGACCATGTACCTAATCTGAACGCTTGCTTCTTCACTTGAGAAGCTCTTTTAGGGGTTGGTGTTATCAGCGTTAAGATACACACTTCCTGTGATCACACAACACTTGTTATCGACTCCGGTTTGTGGTTGATGTCGTAGTGGAGACCGATAAGCCCTTGCAGCGTTCTCCCTAACCTCGCTCCCTCCTTCCCTCTTTTCCTGGTTGCCTGTTTGCGCTTACACTGCATGCCGTTGACTTTCTCCCCTGCTCCTTTAAGTCCCGAGTCTCTGGAGAACCCATCTGACCAGAGGTGAGTCTCTCTAAGCTTTGCAACTTTACCGCGGTCTGCTTGCATCCTGTCACCGCCTGCTCACCTCTTCCTTTTTTCCCCTCCAGACAACCCCTCCTTGACCTCAAACAACCAAATCCTCCTTTGCAGAAATTCTCTCTTCAAAAAAGACACTAAAGATAACAAAAAGCATCTAAAAGTCTCAAATTAATTTTGTTATAGAAGCCAGATCTGGCTTCTCGTGGGCTTTTATTAGTCTGACCACTACTGCCACCTAGTGGTGAAGTGGAGGCCTACACTTTCAAATGCCCTCTGAGGAGAAATAGATGATGCCCCTCCATTTAAAAAAAGTGTTACCATCACTTCAGCAATCTATGAAGCGAGGAGTGTGTGTGTGATTCTGATCACCGTGTGTCAGCGTTGTTTTATTCATGGTACAGTTCTGCACTTTTAATAACCTTGACCTTATCGCTGACAAGCCGCTGCGATGGAGATTTATTGGGCCTTGTAAACTCTTTGAGGGTTTGCCAGGAGAGGGTTCACCAAGCTACATTTTTGTTTGTTTTTTTTTCTCCCTAGAGAGAAAAAAAGGGGTTCTGATGCTGCAAAATCATACCTTTCATTTTGATTTTAGCTGTTTCAGTTAAATCTGTTTGTTTTTAACTGAAGCAGAAAATCTCATTTAAAAGGGGCATTATGGAAGTTTGACAGCCAAAACATGAATAGAAATAATAAATTTCTTCTTCATACATTCTCCTGCAATGCCCTGGTCCTGTAGAATGAGCCCTGGCATTTTTACTGTGATTGCCTGTTTTTCTTTAAAATCACAGAAAAAGAGAGATGCTCGGGTCGAGCAGGCTGCTTCATGCGCGTTCACGCTCAGGCATAGCCCGTAGCATTTGCTATCCGTAGATTTAGCAGCAGAGAGAGAGGTAGTGCCACTTTGTCGCTGTTCCTAACGTCTAGTGACGAACCTAGCTACATTTCTGAGGACCCTTAGCTACTTTCTGTAGAACTTTCTTCTAGATATTTCCTGCAAATTAGCAACAAAATAGCCATTTTCCCTCCGAACTGTTCTTTGAATGTTGTTTCAGCTGTTATCAAGGATGTAAATGTTACAGATACAGAAGACGTGACTGGCGCTTTAGCTAACCTAGTAAGATGTCTAACTCTCACACAGAAGACCTGGGTTTGATTCTGGATGTGAACATAGTTTATTTAGAGTTTCTTTTTACATTAATGTATATTTTTTTACATTAAGATGCCCAAATTTTTATTTGAGACTCGCCAAACGGCATTGAATTCACAGATAAAAAAGATGTGAGTTCAACTTTCATTTTGGAACAATTTTTAAAGCAAGGGAAGGGAATGATCTGAGCATGCAGGAGGACTGACCCATCATACACCTTTGTCGGCTGTGCTGAAGAGAAAGATACAGAACCAAATTATTTAATTAATTAGCTGCACGTTCTCCTGTCCTCTGTCCTCCGGGCCACCCACACACACACACACACACACACACACACACACACACACACACACACACACACACACACACACACACACACACACACAGGACTGTCTCAGCTGTTATTTTCGTTAAGGAGTGTGCACGTACAGCATGCGCACCTCGTGCACGAGCCTACTATTGAAGCTGCCGTTACGCTTTTGGCCTGAGGGGGCAATCGCGAGCATAAAAATTCAAAAGTCTGTAAAGTCCCTTTAAGTGAACCAGCAATCTGTCAACAGATTCCATAAAAATCACCATCATGCTTTTATTTTTGAATCTGATTTAATAATAATACGTCATTCTAAGTTTTCCTACTAATAAAAGTCTCCCGTACAGGTTTGTCCCCCTCTTTCCTGTCCTGTCCACCATGTTGATTATTTTTTGTCTTGTCCTTTATCGTTTTGTCTGAGTGTTTTTGCTGTTTCATGAATATTTTTGATGTACGTCTCCTCACGTTTTCTCTGTTTTTGTGTCTAATGAACCCAGAAAATGATCATAATGCACAAACTGTTGTTTGGATGTCAAGTTTTAATTTGCTGGACGCTCAAATCGAACGTTGTGAGTGTCTTGAGTGTGTGCAGATGAGGCGCATTGTTGTGTGTACTTTTCTCACACAGCTGTGACAGTTGCATACACGCCTCTTAAGGATCGAGGGAAGTCTTCCCGTCTCTGCATTCAAATCACCCCTGCAGCTGCAGCAGTGAAGAGATCAAACAGCTGCCTGAACACACACACTCACACGTGCACACACACCCAGCGGAAGCAGCAATGCAGTTAGGATGTGCTAAAGCTAGTAGCAAAACAGCCCCCTGCTACTCCTGAACTCCGTCTGCATCCTGATTTTCCTCCACATGACTGTAACTGTTAAAACAAGATCACAGTAACCAAGTTTCACGTTTCTTTTTCTTACCAAATGCATAAAAAGAAACTGTCTGTCCTGTTGGACATGCATTTAAGTCACTAGCAGTTACTCAAAAGCTCATTTTAGGAGTCTTACTGACGGTTTGTGCCTGTGATGCTCTCCCAGTGAAAAGGCTCTGCTGGTGAACAAATTTGAGCTCAGCATCCGGACCGAGGCAACCCAGGGTTTGCTGCTTTGGAGCGGCAAAGGCGTGGAGCGCTCCGACTACATCGCCCTAGCTGTCGTGGACGGACACGTCCAGATGACGTACGACCTGGGCTCCAAACCCGTGGTGCTGCGATCGTCGGTGCGCGTCGACACCAACAGCTGGATACGCATCAAAGCCAGCAGGTAAGCAGGGAGCCGACAGGTAGCCGGGGATCGGCGGTGAAAGGCTTTTTACAGTTAAAGAAGGATTAGAGTTAATCCAGATTGTCTTTGTGTCACTGCAAACTGTGTGATTTCCTGTGTAAATCCTCTGCTACGTGGTGATCCCGCGCTCTGAGTTGATGAATGATTAGTTTCAGATTAAGGTGGTGTTTGCGCTCGGTCACGCATGCGTTTGATGCATTAGGACAACAGAGGCTCAGACGTGCTAATAACTGCTGTAACACCTCAACATGGTGGGGATTTTAGGGAAAGCAGTGGCTGAAAATGCAAACGCAACCCATACATGCTGCAGAATATCTTTAAATGGCATTTAAGGTCAGGTGGTGTTAAAAATCCAAGATAATCAGAAAATAAATAAATAAATTGAATTATTCTTCTGAATTCCTGTTCTAGCTTATAATTAAATGTGTGGTGTTTGTGTTTAAGTCTGCTTACATACATGATCGATGCGAATACACAGGTCCGTACAGATTAGCACGTCTGTAATAGATGGATAATCGGCCCGGAAGAAAAGAAAACACAAAGCATGCAATATTTTTTATCGGACACTGTTGTCACATTAATTGATTTCTTCATTAGAAACAAATTAACAGCCTGAACAGCAAGAAGGACCCATTCAACACTTTCCGCGCATTCTCTGCTTTATCTCTGCCGAGCATTTGTTTTGCAGCGTGGCTGTGGATGGGCCCGTGGCAGATAATTAGATTGGTTTTATCATTTAAGACGAGAACAATTGATCCTCAAAAGGCCACTGCTTCCATTTTAAACAGGGATTTGACCAAATTTTAGCCCAGCTTACAGGAAGAACGCATCGTTCTCTGCATGTTGGACAGCAATGGGGGAGCGCATTATGTGGCGTTCTGCATCATCCTCTGTGCGTGCGGTTCCTGTTAAACGACACGGTCTCTGTTGGAGACCTTTTAGTGAGATGAAATTTGCACTGTTGCTAAAATTCTTCAGTGTGTGCAGTGAGGAGCATCCTAAATGACTGGAGCATCTGTTAGCTGCTAGGCAGGCTCATTTGGAGCGCTGCTTGGGAAACACACTTCAGTACACTAGGAGTGGAGTTGCAGAAATTTGATTCAGTTTAAAGGCATCTAGAGTGTACAGCCCACAGATCCGACCGACTCCTAACTGCACTTCCTCATTTCTCCTTCACAGAGCTCTTCGAGACGGCTCTCTACAGGTCGGCAATGAGGCAGCAGTAACAGGGTCATCACCTTTAGCAGCCACACAGCTGGACACAGACGGAGCCCTCTGGTTAGGTAGGTGCCCACACAAGCATTTCAAAAGTAGGCCACGGTCATCTTAAAGGGAACACATTATGCTAAACTCACCTTTTGTGCTGCCATGTGGTCCTCCACTGCCTCTATAAACACTCCAAACATAAAAAAGCCTCTTCTGTTTTCTGTCAGTGAAAACAAACTTCAAACAAACCGTTTCAAAAGGTCCCTGTTTGTGATGTCGCAGAAGGGAACATTTGCATAGAACCGTCTGTTCTCCAGGCTGGAGGACCAGCGACTCTACTCCATGCCCCTCTGGGATATCAGAGATTCTCAGTTTATAGCAGCCTGAGTGAAGGGTGGATGGGCGGGGCCAGCTGCAGCTCGTTTTCTTAAAGCAACACTTAGTAAGTTTCTTGCTTCTGCCTCCTTTTGGTTGAAAGCGGAACTACAACTGCAGTAAACAACCCTGCCATAGCCTGGTGTAGCTAGCACTAACAAAGCTAACTTTAACACGAGCACACTGATACTAATATAGACACAAAAATTATTAGTACTTACAAGTCCAGTATAACAAAGCCAGGTCACCATCAGTCCATGATTTTGTAGACTCCACAATAAACAGCTATAGCCGTAAAGCAGGCACAGACCCCCCCACTGGTGTTCCTACTCAGTTTCTGGTCAGCAGATGGCTGTCCAATGTGAAGTTGCTCAAGTCAAGAAACACTGAAACCAATTTGAAAGCAATAGTTTAAACTATTATAACTTAGGAAAACAAGTCTTAACATGTCTCGTTTAAAATGCTGTTCACAAGGACTGAGAAAATGCGCGTGGCCGTGTGGTTTCACTCACTGATTCCAGCAAAGTATGAGTAATAATTTTATTAGCATTGCAGAGGAAACCAAAGCATGCTGCAGTGAAAACCCACTGCAACAAAAGTCTTTTCAGGCACTGAGGTGGGAAATGAAAAGCTACCTGACTTACTTGCTTTTCAGAATTGAAAATGACCAAACTCGGGCCATTATCTTCCTTCAGTTCAATTTGGTCTGACCTTGGCTTTGAGGAATCGTTTGTGAAAGAGCTTACGTACAAGGCCGAGCTGGGACTGAACACGCTGACTAAATAAGAGGCAGAAAAAATGGCCTGGTTGTTTAAAAATGCAAAGCAAGCGGCAGAAGAAAAGCGGGTTTGAGAGTGACATTTAAGGAGCTCGCCTCATGCAGAGGTGCACACAGATGCACGCTTACTTCCTCACAGGGAGAGGCAGCGCCGTGGAACAGGTGCTGAGCCCTGCTGCACAAATATATAATCCTCACACAGCCCTCCTATCGGGAGCCCTTCTTCTCCTTAAATCCCCTTTTCAACGTTCATCATTAATTCATCTGTAACTTGCATGAAATTAGCCCGCCGACTCCTGGTTCAGAGGCACGCAATCCGATTAATAGGGGCAGGGACACGGGATGTAAAGAGCTCTGAAGGGATGTGAACTCTCACTCCGAGGAAACGGGAGGGGAGGGGAGATGGGGAAGGTGAGAAAAGCCCAGGTGGAGGAGCAGCCAGGTAAAAGTGCAAGGATTATTCTCTCTGGGTAAAAAATGGTGGATAGATGTGCTGATTTTACTAAGTAACCAAAACAAGCCAGATGATTAAAATAAATAAAACTCTGATGCCAGTTTCCAACTACCAAAGCACAGAGGTAAACGGGATTTCTGTCACGGCATTCAACTTAAAAAAGTGTTTTCATTGTAGATTTTAAATGTACAGAATTTATTTTAAGGACCTTTTCTGGATTTGTGTGAAAGGGAAAAATGAACTCTTTGTTCATATACTGGCAAATGAAATGAAAGATTTGATCTGGAACATAATAAATAAATACCTAATTTAGGTTGTGCTTGTATTTTTACAAATTGGTCTGAAAATCAACAAAAATGTAAAAACCAATATTTGGGAAAGCTCACATTTTAAGAATTGCTTGTAAAACCCCTGAGGAAACATGGCCTTTCAAAATAAAAGCATCTCAAAGCTTGCTTTTTATGTGTAATATGTTTCAAGTTGAGAAATATTAACAAGCAGATCAAAAAGGCAATAACACAATAAAATAAAACCTTGTTTAGGTCAGAATAAATGATCAGATGGACATCTCCAGACCAACCATACAAATCTTTTAAACTTTCTTTCTGTTGTAGCATAATTCTGTAGCTCCTTATGCTCCATGTCAGATTAAATAAACGTCTCTCTTATGTCTTAGCTGGGTTTTCTCCAGCTGCTATTCAGACCCCGTCTCTCTTTGATCGAGCTGATTTGAAAACCAAAACTGTCAGCCTGTCGTGTCCATCAGCAGCCGCCATCATGAGAAATCTCAAAAAGCTGTAACGCAGTCTGACAGAACCAAGCAGCTGCTTTGGTTGCTTGTACAACAACATTTCAGGGAATTTTCAGGTTTAATTTGTTCTGAAATCCAATCCCTCATCCTGCTGTTTTGATCTTGAAAGGAACACTCCATGGGTTATCCACGTAAGCTCAGCCTGCTAATCATGCCAGTGATGAAATAGTTATGTCTTCTGAAGCCCTGGAGAAGCATTTGGACTGGGTTTGAAATCCTGTTTTATTTTTGCAGCAGAATGTCTGTTTTCGGAGCTAGAGATATAAACACTGATAAAAATATTCAAGAACACTTTTGATTCCTCAATAATAAGCTTGCTGTTCCAAAAGCTTTGTGTGATGCGTTTACTTACTGACCACATTACCTCTGGAAACCACTGGGGACCAAAGGGCTGTTTCTCAATAAGCATACTCGTCTGAACCTGGGTACTCACATCCTTCTGGAACGTCACCAACGATGACCCAAGTACTGTTCCAATAAGTACATAGCGTGGCAAATTCCCTCAAAGTTCCCGGATGTATTGTGAATGCATCAATGCATCCTTCTGCAGACTATCAGAAACACGAATAAAGAAATATAAAGCTGTCTGTTATTGTAAATAATTGTGCAGAACCTGTAAAATTTGTTGTGTGTATTTTTTTCAGACTTCACAATCCCTCAAATAATATAAAAGCAGCGTTGCCTTAAACAGCTCTGTTGTGATGGAAAATAAACTTTTTTCTTCATTTAACAGTGAGAAATGCTCGTATTTGATTAATTTTGATCAAAAGTGGACCTAATATTTAATTGTAAATTTGTTATTGAAGGAAAAAAACTTGACTTTTATTTTTACCGGGTCGTTATTTTACCTGTAGCAGCAAGCGGTGCTTGTTGCCCTGATGTAATGGAATATTGTTCTGTCCTAAATGGTAGGGATTTCCCGTTCCGATATCAATATGGAAAGCAATTTGATATCAGCCCAAAAACACTGTATCTGATTTTATTAGACTGCATCAAAAATCTCCAATATAAGCACTCCATTAAGGTTCACATTTTCACAACAAATGGTTCATAAAATTGTTTTTTTTTTATTCTTACTGTTATTGGCTCTTGTTCTCTGATGGAGTATCACTTGATCAAACCTTTCATACATTCCACACTACGAAATAGGTAAAAGTAAGTATGAATTTTGGTGATATCGTATCAGATTGATATCAGTATCGATCAATACTGAAGGCTGTGATATTGGTATTGATCAATACTGAAGGCTGCAATATCAGTATCGATCAATACTGAAGGCTGCAATATCTGTACTGATCAATGCTAAAGGCTGCAATATCAGTATCGATCAATACTGAAGGTTGCAATATCGGTATTGATCAATGCTAAAGGCTGCAATATCGGTATCGATCAATACTGAAGGCTGCAATATCGTTATCAATCAATACTGAATCAATCAATCAATCAAATCAAAGATACTTTATTAATCCCAGAGGGAAATTAGAGTTTCAGTACACACAATTCAGAGATCAGACATACATGGGCAAGACACATGAAAAGAATTGGTGACTGTGGTCATTCGCAACCCTGAGTCGCGCTACCTTAATAGAGATAAGAGGGTTTACATGAGGATTGGTTCAGGTGGAGGGAAAAAAGGCACTTCAGAGTTACCCTCCACCAGGAGGGCAGCTTTGCTCTGCATAAAAACACCTCAGACAGAAATGCAACAGACTTCAGACATCACACAACATAAGTGTCCACTAGGTGGGGTGGTGGGTTGGGAGTAGGGCTGGGGTAAACGATTATTTTTAAAACGATTATTCTGACGATTATTTTATCGAATAGTCGACTATTCTAATGACTATTTAGAAAATTAATCTAATGATTATTTTTCTATTGCACAATTAACAAAAACCAGAAAATCTCAAATAAATTCCTCAAAAAAATTGATAAATTCTTACTGTAAGAGAATAAACACTACAGGCCTTCCATTTTGTATAACACTGCTTTTATTGTGTTGCGGTTGGTTATGTTCTGGTGATGTGTAGAACTTGGGAGTGCAGGCTGCTGCCTGAGAGGTGGTTGGAGACGGAGTGTCTCCATGCTGCTTTGTTTTGGTCACTTATGAGCGTGAGGCGAGTGGTGTTACCACCCTTCCTGGGGAGTTTGGCTCGTGTGCAAAAAGGAAGGGACAATAACGGGATTTAAAAGTTAAAATGATGATCAGGTTTATTTACAACTACAAAAATCATAAACCTTTCCATCCACAGGTTGGGAATAATAAAACTAATTCTGCCTGTGGGGAATTAAAACAAAGTACAAATAACTAGGGATGTCCCACTGGGCAAAGATTACAGGGTTCTGGACAAAAATAAGAATCTCCAAAAGTCCAAACTCTAAACTGGGTGGTTAAACCAAACTCAAGGTGATATTTTACACTAAACCGAAAACCCACAACACTCTAAATGTAAATAAGGGAGATCTGCACCACAAAAAACATGAACTCTAAACCAAAACGTAACAGCTTATCCAAATGCACGAAGCTGTTAGCGAAGATGCTAACAGTAGCTTTACCAACATTAAGTTCAAGTTACCAAGTTTAAATAAACCAAAAATACCAGCAGCAAACAGACCAGCGCGGAGGAGAGACTGCTACCACCAAAACAGCTCTCCTAATGTCTGAAAGAAGCTCCTTAAAGAAGGGAGAAACGCTCCCGGTGATGTCCTACATCTGCGGTAGAGACGAAGCAGCGCATCTGACCCCGGAAGTTGTTGTCCGTTGCCGGGAGACGAAGGCGGGCAACACAGGAAAATAATCTAGTAGTGGACGGACATTGTTCCGGGTCTTCGGTATTTGGCGGAGATGTTAGTGAAGGCGGAGAAGAGGGCGAACTAGAGGAAAAACAGGCAGATTCCTCCTCTATTTACAAACTCCTGGGGATGCAACAAGTGGGCGCGGTGCGTCGACTTCCGGATCTGATGTCGACAAATTTTTAGAATCGAGCCGTCGACGTCGTCGAGGCTTCGCTACAGCCCTAGTTGGGAGTATCCCCACTTCAGTTCCTGCTGCCACGATAAGCAGCGCATGTCACCTCAGTGTGGATAGGGGGAGGAGCATTGAGGGTTGGAGGGTTGCAGTGACCCTGGAACGAAGGCTGCGATATCAGTATTTATCAATACTGAAGGCTGCAATATCGGTATCGATCAATACTGAAGGCTGCAATATAGATATCGATCAATACTGAAGGCTGTGATACCGGTATTGATCAATACTGAAGGCTGCGATATTGGTATAGATCAATACTGAAGGCTGCAATATCGGTATCGATCAATACTGAAGGCTGCAATATAGATATCGATCAATACTGAAGGCTTTGATATCGGTATTGATCAATACTGAAGGCTGCAATATTGGTATCGATCAATACTGAAGGCTGCGATATCGGTATCGATCAATACTGAAGGCTGCAATATCTGTATCGTATCGGAAGTGAAAAAGTTGTATCAGGACAGCCCTACTAAATGGCGTCCTCATCCTCCCATACTGATAGAATGAACTCTGTGGTGTGCTTGCCAAGTCGTTGGGTATTGAGAAATGGCCGATATCGCTGGTATGAATTGCTGCTTGTGCCTGTAGAGCTCTAAAATTTTAAACCAGAATCCTAACATGAACTTCAAAATCTGTAAAAATCTGATTTGTCATGAATAAATACATGGTTGAATCAAGATTACTAACAGATTTAGTCAAATTAGCCAGAAGACGAAGAGTTCCCACTGTCAGACACAAATCTGTCAGATGCCATATCAAGGACTTTAGTTGTCTCTTTATGAAAATGAAGTATGTTTTCAAACATCCAACTTTAATATACTTAAAGCCCTTTGGTAGCCTAGAAACATCTTGTAGTTTAAAATAAATATATATTTGAATATTATCTGCATAGAAGTGATGAAAATATACTTAAAAACAAGAGGATCGAAATCAGATCCTCGTGGCGCAGCATGAGCAGGAAAAGTAATAGATGTAGAACTATCTGCACTAATTTTGTGCTTCTGTTCCTTCTCAGGTGGTCTGGAAGAGCTGGCAGTGGCACGTCGGTTGCCCAAGGCCTACAGCACCGGCTTTGTCGGCTGTATCAAAGATGTGGTGGTCGATGGAGTGGAGGTCCACCTGGTGGAGGACGCCTTAAACAGCCCTAAAATATTACACTGTTCCGCCACCCAGTAACCAGCAGAGACAAATACTGCAAGACCGAAAAAACAAAGCCCACAACAACAACAACAACAAACCCTCCCACCCACTCCCTCCATAGCGCCCATGTCTCCTGCTGTAATTATTTTCTATTTTTGTATACTTTTCATTGCTTTTTATATGGAAGAAACAAATTCAATCCTCTAGTTTTTGTTTTAAATATTTTGCCTTTTATTTTGTTTTTGTTTTTTCTACATTTACTCTAAACAGTTCCTTTAAGGCCCTTCAACTTCTTTTTAAAAAAGCAAGGTATCTCTGTGGGAGAAGAGATAATTTCCTGACATTGGTTTTGTTTTTACCTTAAAAATCATGTTTTAGGTTTTCTTCACTCATTACTTGAACGCAGTGGACCTTGCTAATAATCCCTGGTTGTCGCCTTGTCTTGGTGCCATATTTATCCAACCACATTCCCCAAGCATGGCCCTTCCATCCTTAAATGTAAAGACATGCATTCCCTTGTGAGAGCTGATTTGTTTTGTTCTCCTCAAATATGGCGGCCAGCTGGCATTAAGAGTCAAGAAACTCAGTACTGATCCCACTATATTTTCCTAATGAGACTCTTCAAATATCAGTCAAGCTGCAACAGTGAGTAAGGAGGCTGTCCCCCCCCACCCCCACCCCCCACCCCACCCCCGCCCCCACCCATCTCACAGCGTCAAAATAATAAAAGAAGATAAAAAGAAAGAAGAAACTCTCCAGTCGGTCCCATCAGAGCCTTTAGTTTTGAAATATGACTCACTAACACGGCAGCCCGACACGACGGAGAGAGCTCCGCGCTTCACAATGACTCTCATCTCATTAGTCATGAGTCCATAAATGAATCATAGATAAATGTTATAAATATAGACTATATAAATAATACCTAAGACTGTGAATATGTAAGATGGGTTCTCTTTGGAGGTCTGTGCTCTTCATGTACTATTTGTGCGTTCTGTTCTAAAATCAGCAGATGAACTAATGTTGACCACTATAAATGCATGCACTTCTGAATCAGGTTTTTGTTTGCTTATTGAAAGTTTTCCCCTTAAAAAAAGTCATCTAATTAGAAAAATATATCATTTTTTTCCTTCTTCTCCTAATTTCCATTCATGTGATTTTTTTCCAGAATACAGAAATTGGATTAACGTGTTTTATTCCCTGCATCTTTCTATTGTTCTTTTGCATTTGGGAGCTGTTAGTTTTGCAGGAGCTTCAAACGGTGCAGGAGGGAAGAGTCGTTACCATATCTGACCTTAAGGAGGTGCTGAAAGCAAAGACTGAAGAAAAGGACAGACGGAGGAAGCAAGGAGAGATCTTATCATGGGGAGAGCTACTACACTTGGGAATGTCCTTTCAATCAACAATCAGTTTGTCAAACCTAAAGACAAAAAAACTTCCTGAGACTTCATTTACTTTGTGCTTTTTATCCTAAGAACATTCCCGGAGGAACAGTTTCTGTTTCTGGCGTTTGAATGAGAAAAGAGTGATGATGAGAGAGAGGGAGAGAGAGAGACTGGTACGTTCTCGTGACTTTTTGAAGCCATAACAGTCGCAAAAACATCATCTTACAGTACTTGCAAGTTAACATAGCATGGGTTTAAACTACTAGTGCAAATTCTGTAACATTCAGTGGACTGTTGCAACGTGAAGTCGTCTTTGCCGAACGCAATAAACCAAGATGGCTGACTTAAAGACTTGTTTTGATATGAGAACCTTGGCAATATTCTAAGAAACCCATGCCTGTCTGTGGTTGAGCATCAAATGGTCTTGTACTTTTGCTTTCTGAACTTTTGTTTTCCTCCTTAAATCATCACGCAACCTGTTTTATTTTGGGGTTTTTTTGTACAGCCCTGCAGTTTTAAAGTGTAAATTTAGCAAACGTGTGATCTGTGGAGGTTTATGTTTTTAGTAATATACACTGGAGACATGTCTGACTTGTCTGTTCACCCATAAATCGACATTGTTCTGTACACACGGGACGAATCGCCCCAGAACTATAATTATGTGGTTTGTAATGGATCTCTGGGTGTCCCACGATGCTCTCGGATCCCAGAACTCACCTTAACTTTGATCTGGTTTTATTTGAATAAACTGTTGTTTGAATTTGACCCATTTGGACTTGGCAGCGAATGGCTTTGGTGGGAACTGAATTGCCTTAAGAACCTGTTCACCTGGACTGTGAGCAGGTCATAAAGACATCATTCATGTAACTGTTTCCTTACTTTAGCCTGTGTATTAGCCTCATCCCAATTGTGTAAATGAGTACTGCATAATGATAATATTAGTAATAACCCCCATACATTAAATAAACATCCCTGAGGGCTTCTTAAAAATGTCCCTTTTGGAATTTCTGAAAAAAAATCTATTTCCTGTTTTTAAACATGTTATTTTTGTTTGTTTCTTATTTAAGTCTACATGTGGGTAGTCCTCCATGTCTGACCTCTGCAAACTACTGTCTGACTGAGCGAAACCTCGTTGAAGGGCAGTGCACCGAGTTGAGAGTGGCATGACCTGAACATTACTAACTTTATGACCTTTGTCTTGTGTTCCTACCACCATGAAATAAAACGTCAACCAAATGGAGCCCGTCCTTCACCGTTGTCTTCCTTTTTGTCTTGATGGCGAGTTTGTTACCATTGATGGTGACACAAGAATCAGTTTTCACAACATGTGATGCTTTTGTGCTGTTATATTACTTTTTAAAATATGTATAATAATTCAGTACCAGGATGTTTAGATGTTGTGTTCTGCTGAGTAACCGCACACACGATGCTTTACAGTGGATGTGTTATGCAAAACTCACCTTTTGTGCTGCCATGTGGGTCTACTGCCTTTAAAAACACCCAAAGGTGGAAAAAAGTGTCCATCCATTTTCTGGAATGGTTTGGTTTTAGGAATTATGATTCTAAGACAAGTCAATGCAAACAGTCCTCGTTTGTGACATCACAAACGGGGACTGTTTGCATTTAACCACAACTCACCACTCTAGAGTGGAGGAGCAGTGGCTCTATTACAAACCCCTCCTGGGTGTTAGAGCTTCTCAGCTTATAGCAGTCAATCAGGAAATGGGTGGGCATGGCCATCTCCAGCTTGTTTTCTTAAAGTGAGAGAGCCCTGAAATGACAGGTGTTTCTCAATGTCAAAGAACCTTCCCATGATGCCTTGGTCCTACCCCAGTTGCCTAGGAGATACATCATCAGGAACCACCAAGGCATGTTCATGTGCTACCACATGTTCTCTGTTTATTAGCCATTTAGCTAGCTGAGCAAGGATAAATGGGAGGTGCCTTGTAGCTTGGCCTTGGTCAAAACTTTCCCACAATACAGCGCGGTATTTTCAAAAGAATGGAGGATAAGAAGCCGGCAGCTACTTTGGGGGCACATTTCCTGTTTAAATGTAAGTCAACTAATTGTAGTTATTGGGCCGATTTCTAAAATGTTTTTTTTTAGATCTGAAGCAGTTATGTATGGTTGGGCAGTGTCCTCATAAGCAAGGCACCTGGCCTCACAAGACATCCTTGCAAGGCCAGGTGTCTTGATATTGGGAAACACCTGAAATTCAGGAAGGTACTAAAAATGCCAAGAATAAAACTGCTGAAATCGATTTATGTGAGAGGGATTTAGTGCACAGAACGTCTAAGAAAAGGTTTGTATTGATCGTAGGACAATTTTACTTATTTTTAAACTAATTTCTCCTTTAATACTGGCACAGTAAGAATGCTCACATTTTCCTTATCTGAGAAAAAGACTTTTCCTCAGTTCTCAGCAGTCCCAGCCCTTGACCTTTTAGCCACTCTGTTCCTGATGTCCTTCTGTGCTGCCCGGCCATCTCCTCAACATTCTGCAGAGACTCTCACACCTGCTTTAGGACTTTGTCCTGGTGCATGCTGGACTTTTTGAAGGCTTCTTCACAAATTATTCACAGATATTTATTGACTTTTTAGGTTTTAATAGTTCAAGGTCATTAAATCCTTCTCACATACAGCTATTTCAGAAATTGTGTTCTTGCCCCTTTCAGTACCTTCCAGAATGAGCCATTTCAGGGCTCTGTCACTTTAAGAAAACCAAGCTGGAGCTAGCCACACCCACCCACCCCCCTCTCAGGCTGCTATAAGCTGAGAAGCTCCAGAGTAGAGCTGCTACTCTTCCATCAGTAGCTCTCCTACTTTCATTTTCCTTCTTTGTGACATCACAAATGAGGACTGTTTGAAACGGCTCATTTTAGGGACCTTATTCTTAAAACAAAACACTGACAGAAAAAGATGGACGGGTTATTTCACATTGGGAGTATTTATAGAGACAGTAAAGATATATTGCAACACAAAAAGATGCAAAATGTGAGTTTGATTTAATTTGTCCCCTTTACCAAATTGGCGACATTGTGACATAATTTAGCCTAATACTGAGCTTTATTTTATTGGACTCATGGTTTTTGGTAGCCTGGAGACAGATCAATACTTAAGAGGTATTGAATCGACCCATCTTGTAATTAATATGTTTATGCTTCTATAAAGTTCATGTTTCCCATTTGGAAACAAGGGAATTGTTATTTTTACATTACTGTCATCTCATAGTTTGGTTGAGGTCAAATTTATGAATCATGAAAAAAATCTAAATTTCTCCGAGTTTAATTATCTCTAACCTCCTCAACAGAGCCCAACACCCAATCAAACCTACTAAAGTTGTGTTTTTATGTTTACTGGACAGCTGTGCACCACTCTTCATCAAGGTCTTGCCTACATGTGAAGATTGAAAAGTCTCAAGGAACAAAAGGTCAAAGGCCACCTTGGGGCAGACGGGACATCCTGGTTTCCATGTCCCTAGAAATGGGCCTTTGTGCTCTTCGAGCTATTTATGACGCGTTGGCTAAACAGGAATCCACCTGAATGGTGATAAAAACTGAATTCCTTCAACTTTGTCTCATTTTTTCCATTCTTATGTAAAATCAACCAAAATAGCTGATGTTACCCACAGACTCCTTTATGCTTACGATGTCATGTAAATCTTTGTCCTTTTATTAAAAATACAACTTTGTGCTTAGAGTTCCACAAAAAACATTTTTAAGGATTATTTCTGATTAGAATGAAGTTACTCTGAGTTTTTTATGCATGTAGAAGCTAACTGTTAGCATTAGCAACTCCACCACATGGCAGAACTCCTCCAGGCTTGTGTTTTTTTGTGGAGATAAAGCATCAACGTCACAGAGCAAACTGAATCAGTGGTTGCTGTTAGCCAATCAGAAGAGAGATGTCCAATCATCAGGAAGTAAGACTCCAGATCCTGTCGTCTGAAGCTACTTTTCCTCCGGCTGATCTCTACATCCACAAACTGGAGCACCAGAGCTTTCCCCCCAGAGAACGACTTACTCCTGGAGACCACTGCACATGTATTAAAATATGAGTAAAGTTGACCTTTAACCTTTATACGTGCACTATTTTCATTTGACATGGACAAACTAATGTTCAAACAACTTAACTGAAATATAACTTACAAAAGTCAGAAAATTTAAGACAACCCATTTCTTTTGAGTTTGACTAAACAGACTTGAATAAGCTGCTCCTTTTACTGGTTACAGAAGCTCTTAGAGCAAATGCTTGCTCCTGATAAGGCGTGCTTTATCAAAGCGCAGGCTTGTTTTAATGCATTTTTAAATCTTCTTATATAAACTTTTGAAGGTTACATTTGTACAAGGATTGCAGAAAAATACACCAGTGCATTACAATTCCAGCTCCTCCTAAATCTTCTAATCTGGGGCTTTTCTCGATCAAACGAACGTTTTCATCTTTCCTGGTTTCTCTACAACAAAAACGAGGAAGCTGCTACTTCAGCGCTCCATGGTTAGGCTTCTCCCTTTGGGTATTTATCATTTTCATGCTCAGAACGTTGTGCAAAAAGCAGAGAGGAACTCGTGGTTGTCCTCACAGCTTTGAAATTTGCGTCACTTGATTTATTGTGATTGTGAACAAACCACAGCTGCAGGAAGTCGCTCTTAAAGATTACCAGGTGTTTTACGTGCATGTTGATTGAATTCCTTTCTGATTTACGAAACTTTATTTACCTAAATACACGTTCGTTTTTAGGACGCTGATTGAGTTATGTTACCTTTGCTGTTCACAGAAACACCAACGTTGATCAAAAACAGCAAAATAAAATCAGCAGAGTAGCTCTGAATGAACATGTGACCCAGCTCCAGATAGCATCATACGTGTATTACCTTTCATACAAATGAGTTCGGAACTGTCGTTTTATATGAGAGATAGAATGCAAGATTTCCTGGTTGTCACTTCACTCAGCCACTCGCTCGCTTTTTATTCTTCTTTGTTCCAACATACAAATTCCAGAAAAAATTCCATCATTAACATTAATTTTCTTCCAGGAAAAACAAATTTGGAGCAGTTTTCATTGCAATGAACAAGAAAAAAAATTGCAAATCACAAAAACCGTGTTCTCTAACGCCCTCGCTTGTGTACCAACTCTGCATGGTGTTTGTTCTGTCAAACACAATCAATAAAGTCATTTAAGCTGCGACTCACACATGAATAACATGTTTGATTGTCAAACTAAAATACAGCCTGAAGCAGAATTCATCTGGCAGAAGGAAAACAAACCTGCTGCAGAAATTTCACAGAGAGGAGAAGCTCCCTGTTTGTTTTGCAGGCTGCTGCTGCAGCACCGGGTCTAATAGTGGAAAACTGAATCCATATATGTGAAGTCCGTGGGCTCACAGACAATTGCATAAGCTCGGCCGCTGCACAGTAGATTAACCTACACTGATAACCACACACTGGTGACATCAGCGCCGCTCTGCCTCGATGCTTAGACAACTCTGCACCAATTCACGTCTACGAGGCCATCCCATAATGATTGTATAACAAAGGAGCCCTGTTTTTCTTATGACTAAGCAAAGCAGCCGCCTGCATATATCATACTACTGTTGCATAACTGGTAAACATAATGATCTGCTAGAGAAAAAAAATGAAAATATTCATATTGTTTTTTTGTTTAAAATAATTTTGATTTAGCTAATTTTTCTTTCTTTTTAGATTAAATATCAATAAATTTGATGACCTTATCATTTAGATTGATGAACGTGTTAACCTGATGACCTGCAGAAGGAAAAAAAAAATAATTTTTTTGACAGAAGTTTAAAGTATTTTTTTTCAATTAAACTTTATCTAAAAAAAATGGTGGACATGCAATAATTCTGGTTATGAAAGCCACTACATATTTCTGTTCCTTGTACTCTAACCTTAATAAGTTAGGCTGATTCCAGAACATCTATAATAATAGATAATAATAAAAAAAACAAGCAGATGAAAAGTAAGTTGTTGCTTGAGTAAATAGTTACAGACTTAGGAAAAAAACATTTTTTGTAATGTGCAGTTGCAACAAACTTACATATAGATAGAAGAAAAATATTTTCCAATCAGCTAATCACGCTGAAAATTGGTTGATTCTATCATCAGACATTTTCGTGCATCTCTGATAATGCACAAATCTACAATTTCACTGTAATCAAACAGTGACAAACAATATTCTGATTCTGACAGTTGAGTGTTTAAACCTCTAGCTGTACCTTGTATT